GATGTGAGTTCTCTCACAATTCTCTCTTCACCACTAAGGACATCAAAATTTTATTATAACCTTCTTCCATTCTTCATGAGATAATGACTTAGTGATATTTGATGACATAATTATGGAATTTAGAGAAGTGAGAATATCTTATAAGAGGTAGATAGGTGTTTAAAGGAGATAAATTGAAAAATAAAATACTTGACGTAACTTAGTCATTGTATAGTAAATTATGTAAATTTAAAATTTATAAAACTAGAAAATACTAATTTCTAGATATTTAGAAGTATTCTTGAATAAATATTTTAATTATAATTAAATAAAAGTTTTAAAAATAGTGAAAATTTTCTAGGTCGATCACAGAAATGTAATATAATATCAAATTATTTTTTAGATTATTTTTAAAGAATATGATTTTTTATGCATTTTAGATTAAGAAATAAAAATAAAATATATTTAAATTTCATAAAAAATAGAAAAAGGGTGCGGATGTCAAGATAATGTCAACACCTGATGAATGTAAATTAGACAAAAATAGAGTTCTACCTAGTGATTCTTACGTAAGTAATTACATACGATTTAATTGATCAAATTAAGATGTGTAAAAGCCAGAAGAATCGTAATTGAATAAAGAATAACTTAGTAAATTTAAATCACATAAACTATTATTAAATGAAGAAAAAATTAAATTAAAAATAGAAAAATAGAGTTCCTACATCGTGTTGGCAATGTATCAGAATCTTAAGTATTTGAGAGAATTGTCATGTAGTAGCCACGACCTCGAAGACTCTCCTTAGATAAGGATGACGTGGACAATCTTTAGATTTTCATACGAAATCTAGAGATCGATAAAATAAGTTGTTGAATTGTAAAACAACGACTTTACAATTCTCAAGCGGCTATCACTCGACAAAGAGGAGTTGGATGGAGGTGAGGCGCATGTTAGGGAGTTTCATCCTCAAGTCCATGTAACAAGAGGAGGCTCTTCATCGCATTTGATACGCTCTCAGGAGATAGCGACTTATCACCTAGTAGATCATCCTCTTCTTAACGACGGTTTGCTCATCGATCAATCGGAGATAATTTACCATATGGATTCATGATACTTTTATCATGAATTGTTTAACAATTTTAATAACAATGTTCTGTGAATTGCATTGACAAAAATTTTGCCGATGATTCAATGATTATATCAGCTTAATTTTTCACAAGTGATCTGTAGGAAAGTTGTGATAATCAGATAAAAATACGAATTTTAGCTCTAAGAGGATTTGAACTCGTGTCGGTCACTCGCTTGTATGAGAGAGATTGAAATAAATACTTTGATACTCTTATAAAGTGACGTCATCATGGTATATCTCTGTTATAATTAAGCGATAATTTACGTATTAAAATCTTCAAAGTCTTTCCGAGGAAGATGTGACACTTGTTTAGTCTCACATCGGTTTTACGTCGAAGTTTTGAGCAAATATATAATAATATCACATTTTCAAGTAATGAGTCAATTTCTTCTGCATGTATGACCACTCCTTGCCCCACAGTCAGTTGACCACCAATGACGTGGAAGGAGAGTGGCGTGCACGTGCTCATATTGGTCCATAGCCCTCGAACCCTTACTCATGACTCTACCCTGACTGTACTTTCAACCCATTTGCGGGCCTGACTGGCCGATAGAGTCTTCCCTTTTTCTATTTTTTTATTTTCTTTCTTTTTTATTTAATTAAAAAATATGATTATAAAAATCATATAAAATCATATAATTAGCCAAAAATCACATTAACCAACTAAGAATCACTTTTCACAAATTAACACAAATATAAATCTATTTATCTTAAGTTAAGGCTAAAGTTATATTATTTATTAATTATTAACTCATGATATTGAAGACTTATCAATAATTAATATTTCTAAAACATTTTCTCTTCAATTTGCTTAGAGTTATATGTAAGTCTTTTTTATTTTCTTCTAATAATGGAGGTATAAATGAAGAGATAGAAATATTAACGAACAAAAATGTGATAACTAGTTAAGTTACCATAAGAAAAAAAATCAAATGGAGATAAGTGAAAATACACATTTAAATATAAGGATGATGGAATTATAAAAAGATATAAGATTAGATTAGTCACTAAAGGTTGCACTCAAACTTATGAATTCTATTATTTAGAGATTTTAGAATCATACTCTCATTAGTAGTTAATTATGATTTTGAAAATAAATAATTTGATGTGAAAAATGTATATTTACATGAGAAAATTCATGAAGAGATTTATGTAAACATTCATTGGGGACATAATATTGATTCTAATAGAAATATAGTATGTAGATTACAGAAAGTTCTATATAGACCTAAACAATCACGAAGTGCATGCTTTGATATATTCTTAAAGGTGATGAGAGAAATTAGATATAAACTTAGCAATGTGGATCATACTTTATTTATTAAACATTCATCTTCAAGGATAATTGCAACCCTCCTAGATTATGTGGATAACATAATAGTAATAAAAAATGATGACAAATAAAGGAACACTTCAATAACTGTTTATCAAAGGAGTTTGGTATTAAGATGTTAGAAAAATTAAAATATTTTCTTAGCATTGAAGTTTCTCACTCAAATCAAAGGATGTTAATATCCTAGTAAAAATGTAGTATTTAAATTTTTAAGAAAATCAAGAAGTTATGATGTAAACTCATAAATACTCTTATGGATCATAACCATAAGCTCAGATAAATGAAAGAGAGTAGACCTATAAATACATTAAGATACTATCTTGTGAGAAATTTGATCTACCTTTTCCACACATACTAGACATTGTATACTTGATAAGAGCTTTTAGTCAATGTATGCATAGACTTAGGGAGGCTCTTCTATTAGCTATTGATAGAGTTCTACAATATTTAAAATGGACCCCTAGTAGAATGATTTTGTTCAAGAAAAATAACAATATGAATCTGAAAATTCATCCTGGTGTTGACGATCATTCTATTGCACATTCTTCATAAGAAATCTTATCCTATGGATGAGCAAACAACAAGTGATGGCATAATCAGATGCAAAATCTAAACTTTGAGTTATGTCACATAGCATATGTAAAGTTTTTTGGGTGAAGGTCATCCTAGAAGATCTTAAAGTTAAGCAATATGATTAGTTACAAGCATTTCATATAATCTTGTGCAACATGATTGAACTAAGTATATTAAGATTGATCAATACTTCATCAAAGAAAAATTAAATAGTGGTGACATTTATATACCATATATCTTCACACATGACCAACTAGATGATATCCTCACCAAAGGATTAACTGTGGTAGTCTTTTAGAGATTAACTTCTAAGTTGAGACTATGACATCTACTCACCAGATTGAGGGAGAATGTCAGAAAAGGAGATTACCTTTTCTTCTTTTTCTTCAATCATTTTTTACTTCTACCCTCTCATTTTTTGTAAGTGAATTAAATCCGGTGATCAGGTAAGTGATAACATCTCTCTCTCCAACTATCAGTATTCCATGCAGCTTTGATATAGACTATCATCACCTCCATGTTAGTGACGTGAAGAATTGCCATTAAATGGCCAGTCTTTGTCAATGGACTAAAAAGTGGTTTATTCATGCTTTCATCCTTATTTGGCAATGACATGAACCTATGAGGGTGTTAATCTGATGAGATCAAGTTGCTTCTACAAAGTGTGTAAGGTTTGCTGTTATTTCTAATCATGATGCTTCATTAAAAGAATCACAATGGAATGCTTCTCTAGATCTATCAAGGTATGCTTACAGGTGGAATGAGAAGCTTTTCTAACTTGTTTGAGATGCCTTAAATCGAGAAAATGTAGGATCTATTTGGTGAATTTTCGTAGTCTCTTTCATTTGCTCTTTGGATTGGCAACAAACCTTCATACCATGAGACCTATCTTATCTATAATGCATGCCTACGATCTCATCTCTGGTTCTGACACATTCAGCGAGGACTGGCAGAAGGGGGATGAGGGCTTTATTCCGTTTCATTATATGTTTCATAGTTTGCCGATTTTAGCATCGACTTTATTTGAGAGAGAGGAAGAGGAGCCATAATACCCGTTTAGGATTCTTGATTATCCAGCAGTTAACTCTTTTCTTGACAGGGGCAATTGCTTCACCAGCAGTAGAACGTCGTTCTTGTTCATCAAACATGGATTTGGCTTCTCGCCTTTCCTCCTAGTCGAGCTGGCCTTGCATGAATCGTAGATTTGGTTGACATCTCTCTCTCTCTCTCTCGTCTTCAACACTCTGAACTCTGCAACGGTTGCCATACGGTTGAATGGGAGGAACCTGGTAAGCGAGCGATCTCGGGCCTATCGGACTGCAACCAATCGCGGTGACCGATGGAGAGTGCATCTCAGGCCATTAGTTGGCCAGCCACCCGTGGTTTCTTGCTTCCCATGCGCATGTTTCGATAAAAATAATTGGGTGGACCTGGGAGTCAATCGCCCAAAACCATCCGACCTCGTCCCCCTGAGAATTGGCGTTGCTCGGCTGCGGTGCGGTCGGTTCGGCTGAGAATCGGACCAGACCTCACCCAGGGGTCGACGTCGAAATGGAATGAGCGTCTGTTGGTTGGGTTGAGGTCGAGCCGGCTGGGAATTAGGAGCCAGACACTGGACCATGCCCGACAGAATAAAATGAAGCGATTGATGGGTCAAGTCGGGAAAGGAAATTGGGTCCGCATTCAGCAATTGGCTCGAGTACCAGTCGTACCATGCAATGCTGATGCAATGAGCCCTAAATCGGCATATGCGACTGGATGTCGGCGTTAAAAAAAGCAGGCGATACGGTAGCCCATTTGAGATGGCGTGGAGAAACGTGTATCGGTGAGTCGGCGCCGGCTTCCCTGCGACCGAAATTGACCCTCATATGCCCTTGAGAAGTCGTAGATTCCCACCCTTCTTAATACCATCGACTTCATCTGGAAGGGGGCGAGGAAGAGAGATGGATGCGAACGGGAAGGCATCCAGTGGCTTCCACGCCGCCATGGGTAGCTCCGGCGTGCAATCAAATGGTTCCAATGGAGGCGATGGTCTGAAGAACGAATTCCATCCCGAAAACCGCTTCCCGGAGACAAGGACTGGTAGCCACCCTTATCGCAAAGCAGTGGGGGAGATCATCACTTGCAAAGGTAGGAAAATATTAAAGTATCTTCGATACTCCTTCCTCGCTTCCTTTCGAACCAGTCGGTCTGTGTTGTCAAGCTGCGGTCGTATGGGGCACCGGAGAGCCATTCGTCATCGAAGAGATCGAGGTCGACCCCCCGCAGAAGATGGAAGTCCGCATCCGAATTCTCTTCACTTCCATTTGCCACACCGATCTCAGCGCCTGGAAAGGAGAGGTATAGAACTTATCCGAGCGAAGGACATTCCACGCGGCGGAGCTAGGCTCCGCTTTGCGTCAGAGCTGTTCTAACGTTCCTCTGTTTCATGCCAACAGAACGAAGCCCATAACATCTATCCCCGAATATTTGGCCATGAGGCATCTGGGTACGCCTGTTCGTCACTTCTAACTTCACCATCTGTCCTCTCTCTCTCTCTCCATCTGTTTATCTTTCTCCGAGTAAAACCTCAACTTATTGGTGTGCGCGAAGGGTTGTGGAGAGCGTCGGAGAAGGGGTGACGGACCTCAGGGAGGGTGACCACGTGGTTACCATCTTTACCGGCGAATGCGGCGAGTGCGCCTACTGCAAGTCCGAGAAGACCAACCTCTGCGAGACGTACCGAGTCAACCCGTTGAAGAACACCATGACCGGCGACGGGAAGACGAGATTCTTCACCGCCTCCCAACGGCAGCCGATCTACCACTTCCTCAACACCTCTACCTTCAGCGAGTACACCGTGCTCGACTCGGCTTGCGTCGTCAAGATACATCACAACGCTCCCCTGCACAAGATGTGCCTCCTCAGCTGCGGCGTCTCCACTGGTATCCATCCTGAAGAACCTACTGGGGCCAATCCAAGAACAGAGAAGCTGATTTTTTAAGATGACTGACGATCTTGATCGGAAACTATCCTCAACGAACAGGGGTCGGAGCGGCGTGGAACACAGCAGACGTGAAGGAGGGATCAACGGTGGCAGTATTTGGATTGGGCGCCGTGGGACTTGCGGTAAGAATGTTATTCCTGTCGCTTTTCTCCCCAGACTGTCCGGTTTTCTAGAAAACTGCTTAGCGTTCACAGAAGTTACGTGCTCTGGGGGGCGGCGGGAGTAGAACCATATGTTCCTCTGAATTCTTCACAAGAAGACGCCGACTCTCTGTGGAGTTTCCCTCCAGATGATGGTTCTTCTACTCCCCCCAAGATGGTTCAGAGCATGTGAAGCTTCCCAAAATTTGGAGTTAGGAAACTCCATATGATGGTTCTTCTACTCCCGGCCCCCCTAACTCCATATTTAGGGAAACTCCATATGATGATCTGACGTCATCAGATCTAAACCCCACATGATGAAATTTAGGAGCCTCTTCCGCTGTCTGCAGGTTGTGGAGGGGGCCCGAGTGCGAGGAGCCTCTCGGATCATAGGGGTCGACACCAACTCGGAAAAATCCACCAAAGGTAGATCAATCAAACTGTAGGCGAAGATTGAAAGCCGCGTGTTTCTGACCACGGAGATCGATGAGAATCGTTTGACATCTGCTTACCATCCGCAGCGAAGGAGATAGGAGTCACTGAGTTCGTCAACCCCAGAGAGCACTCCAAGCCTGTCCACGAGGTAAATCCATAAATGTTAAATCCATTGGCATGAGTCTGGCTGGTTCCGATTTGACCTCTGGTGCCGTGGGCGGCTAGAGGTCACAAGCGCCATAAATGTTATTCCATGGAGAACCACGCGTGGCAATAAATAGGCCAGCTCATGATGTGCCGGCTCGTCATTTTGTGTAATTGTTTTCTGTGTGGCGGCCAACATGGCACGTTGGAGATGCCAACGAGTTGACGCCTTGAAGCAACCAATGGCTGTGCAGGTGATAAGTAGCATGACGAAAGGCGGCGTTGACTATAGCTTCGAGTGTGTCGGTACCGTGGACGTGCTCAGGGAGGCCTTCTCATCAACCCACGATGTAAACTTGGAGTCCCCTCCTTTCTGGCTCGCCAACGGAGGCAGCCGGTTCAATGACCGTGTGGGGTTGGCGTTTTGCAGGGCTGGGGAATTACTGTGGTGCTAGGGATTCATAACTCTCCTCAGCTGCTCCCTATGCACCCTATGGAGCTCTTCAATGGCAGGAGGATCGTCGGATCTGTCTTCGGCGACGTGAAGGGGAAGACCCAGCTGCCGGACATGGTCCACAAGTACATGGACGGGGTGGGCTCCTTCCCTTCGGAACATTTAATATAAATAATTACCGGCTTTTATAACGGGGGACCTCTCTCTCTTACTCCCTTTTTTTTATAAAAAATATGTGCATACTTTTCGCTCATCGGGTTTCTCTGTCTGCTTCAGTCCCTAAAGGTGGACGGGCTGATAACCCACGAGCTACCCTTCGAGGAGATAAACATGGCGCTGCAATTGCTAGCGGAGGGGAAGTCGCTGCGGTGCGTGCTTCGCCTGTGACTTGTTGTCGTTTCCAAGTGTCATTATCGAACTTCTCCTCGCCGTCCCGCGACCATGTGTGGAGCCTGATATACCAATCTGCGCTTATAATCTACGATATTTAAAATAAAAAAGACGTCCAAAAATCTCCTGCCTTTCTTATTCTTAAGCAAGCCCCAGAGAGGGCATAGTTGATCTATGGCTTATGTTTCATTTTTCTTTTTGTTTGTTTCGAGAGAGATATCGATCAATTCCAATTGTTTCTTTTTTTATTGATTGTTTTCCGATCGAGATGTATGGATCGATGGATCTATGTGTCAATATAGACCCTGTTCCTGGATTAACGAAAATGTACAAAAGCTATATTTGCCTCTGCCATTTTATGAGTCTCTTCCTTTTTGCGTATGGCATCGCCACACCCTTTGGCAGGATCTACTAGTTCGGAACTTAATTTGAAAGCCATATTTCAACCCGGACGTTTTCGGAATGCTCCTAATAACCATCGAATGGCAAGTGCTTTTCCTTGTGTAGATCCTATTTCAATAGGAACTTGATGAGTCAATCCACCTACACGTCTTGATTTTACTACTATACCGGGAGTTACTCCACGTATTGCTTGACGTAAAAAACGGATAGTGGATTTGTTTCTGTCTTCTGTTGAATCTTTTTCACGGCTCGATAGATAATTTGATAAGCCAATGATTTTTTTTCCGTGTTTCAGAATACGGTTAACCAACATGTTAACTAATCGATTACGATAAATTGGATCGGATTTTGCAGTTTTTTTTCCCGCAGTACCTCGACGTGACATGAGCGTGAAAGAGGTTCAAGAATCATCTTTTTATAAGGGCTAAAAATGAATCACTTATTTTGGCTGTTTGACCCCATATTTTAGCGTGGATCTCGAAAGATATTTTGGCTGTTTGATCTCCCTCCAAGCCGAAGTTTTTATTACTGGTTTCATAATAGAAATTCATCATCTTGGTAAAGTGCGAATCAAGGGGTTCTGTTTCTAATATACTTATTAATTAATAAAATATTTTTATCCTATTCATACAAGATAAATGCAAAATCAATTTTTTAAAAGTTTTTTTGCTGGAACTTTCATTTAAAAAAATGGGTGGGTCATAGAATGTACTATACTATAAAGGAATAGTATATAGACGTTGATGAAGAGAACAAAAAAGACAATACTTGGAAATATCTATGTTTGTAATGCAACCTTTCTTGTATTTGATCCAAAGCAAAGTTGGATCATTAATTAATTTTTTTAATCCTAACTATTCTCCATTATAGATAAGGTAGAGTGGAGATAAGTGTGTAAAAGAAATAGCATACGGATAAATAAAATAAATTCCAAAATCAAAAGAGCGATTGGGTTGCAAAAATAAAGGATTTTTAACCTTTTCTTTTATCAAGGGTTCTCCCAATTGATATGTTTCCACAAACGATTTAAATTCAATTTCTTGATCTGTATCTTCAATTTTTGGAAATTTATTAAATTCTTCCATTAAGCCCTGATTAATAAACCTTCAAAATCCCTCAAATTGTATCAGACTAAATCCAGGGATTGTGAACATTCCCTCATTTCCATCGCGGAGCATTAATCTTAAGTTTCCTGTTTATCGCAAAATCACATTATTGGCTCGCCTCTAAGATCCCCCCGCCGTCCCCTTCATCAAATTCAAGGTATGATTCTGGTTTATCAAATGGCAACAGTTCAATTCATAGATTTCCCTTGAGCGAATTGATGGCTTTTCGTTGTGGTTAGATGTCGGTTAGCGACGAGAATCAATACAGCGGAGACGGAAGTTCTCTAGCACGAGAGAAATGAGAGGTACAACCGAGAATTCCAATGTAACGATGCTACGAGCGGCCCAGACAACGGCGTCTGGGCGATGAGATGTCAACGCGTATGGGCTGAATGAGATGTCAAAGTGCAACTACCTGAATATCTTGAACGCGGATCCCAGAAATTGAGGCCAGAACCTGCTGTTTTCAACGGCGTCTGGGCTGGTTGACTATAAAAGTGGGGCCGTCCTAGGATCGGATGCAAAGGTTTCTCAGGCTTACGAGTCGGATCTACGCTTCGAACAAACAGTTGAAAGTGTTGTAATTATGCAGATCCTGATCTGATTGAAGGTAGATCCAGAAGCCCAAATTACCTTTCGGTGCGCCCAGTAGGAAGGCGGTCCGGTTGGGTCCTAGAACGCAGGCATATTACCCCGAACCTTGTAAAATCGCTGTGTCATGGGGATTGTCTGGCCTCCTCTATTTCATCTTCCTTCTTACAGAGTTTATTTGGCTCTTGCCTCATAGGAGTTATGTTCCCCCAAAAAAAGAACTTCTGTTGAGATACAATTCATCGCTGTTTTCGGATACTAATATCTAGCCTTTATCGACTATGGAGAGAACGTAATCTAGCAAAACAGGTGACGTGGTCTGAATCAGGCTCGCGTGCCTGAAATGGGTTTTCCAATTGCAATCACCTCCTTCAATGCTACCTCAGCTTTGCCAGCTCTGTCGTCATTGCTGGCCGTCGTAGAAGAGCTGCCGTCGTGAATGTGACTGATCTTAACTTATCACTGCTGTTCGAAAAAGATCCATATTTAGAGAGCCTGCCTTCCTTCCCCCTACCATCTCCTACGGGTTCTCGAAATCCTTCCTGCGCTCACTGGGTTGAAGAGGCCGATCTGGCGCTCTCATATGTCCTCTTCTGTGTACGCGAAACAACTCGGAAAGGGTTTTTGAGGAAGAATCCCGTAAAATCTAAACAATATGGATTATATATATTCTGATTGAATGAACGTGAGGATTTTTCGACTTTATATTAATCGTTAGAAACCCATGTCAGGCAACTGGGACCACTGGATGTGAAGCTCGACAGAGTGGCACACACCGGTAGCGCTGTAAAATTTAATGCCAGAATTAGCTAGTCGTTTCCAAGCCGTCATTAAAGGAACGCTATTGGAGACCGGGTGCAGGATCCGGTTGAGCCACTAGCATCAGTCGAGATATGAACGTCTCTTCTCCGGTCGGACTCAGTCACACTCCCGAGGGTCGTTTCCTTTATTTAATGGTGGTGCGCATCCTTGCCTCCCACTAGTCGCCGGGATGAAAATTTCACGATGACTTTTCAAACTAGGAATTTAATTATCGACTCTGACGAGTTGGCCGCTCGGTCCGTTTCCGTTGCCTTCATCCCGCCTAATTCCACTTCGAACGATCGGCGATTCGGTGATTCTCTACGCCCGATTCAATGAATGAAGACGTTCTTAATCTTAAGTCACGATTTCTCGAGGAACAAGAGAAAAAGATGATGGTCCACGTGAGTGCTTGCGTCTCTGCCGGTGATGACTGCTACCCGGAAGGTCATGTCCCAACGCTTAGACAGACGTGGGATTAGTTATTTAGATGAGATGAACTGTCTCGTAATTGTTTAGACACTCCTGAATGTATTGGCACGACGATGAAACCCATAATTTTTCGGCTTCACCGCAGAAATGATGGTTCCAGGGATCAGACCACTGCATATGTATTTTTCGTGGGGTTCCGCACCTGAGAAGTCCATCTCAGCTGACCCGGTTAAACGTTTCTTCAGGCTAGTACTACAGAGCGAGAAGGGGGAAGGTCTTGGCTGTGTCGCTCGTGAGCAAAGTTTTATCCTAAAGGGACATATACGAACTTTGGACTAATATAATATGCGTTGCCCTGGCGGCACCATTTGCCCAAATACCGCCGAAGACCATTACTAAAAGCATACCATTGGCAATGGTTAATCATTTTGATTAACTCCAGTTGCCTCACAGCATTATGCCGTTTTTGTTGCACTAGCCAAGAAGAGAAGGGTAGAGAGCGCGCGACCGAGAGAGAGAGAGAGATCTGAATCACAGCTAGATGAATTGTATGAGTGTCTCACGTTACATCGCTATGGGTGTCTGTCTTCTATTGTAAAACAGAAACAAATAAAATCGAGGGCCGAAACTACAATCCAGGAGAAACCGGAACCTGGCTTTGCACCTGTTCACTCTCAAGGTCATTGTCTGTCGTCTGCTCTAATCCTCGTGAATGGTCCCCAAAACCCTCGTACCCCGTCTGATGCCACCGCTGGCTGCATCGCCACATTGAACAGCTCGCCACTTCCCTTGACGGATGCCCTCCATGACCATGGTGCCGGCGTCGCACTTCCGGGACTCTGCCTGAGAGACGAGATCCTTGAACTCCTTCATCGTCATCCTAACCTTCACCTGGGCGGTGCTTTTCTCCCCCTCGCACGGCAGAGAGTTGTAATGGTGCACCTGCGCCTTTCCATCCGTGATGCAATTTCCCATCTCTCTCTCTCTCTCCCTCCCTCAATATTTTTCCGGGTTGCAAGGGATGGACAGGATAAGGAGTTTATATGGTGTGGTGGAGATCCGTTGGGCAATGTTTACGGCTGACGGTAACTCAAAGAGTGAGGCAGGAGGAGACGCAGATAGTCGATGACGATGGACAGCGTGGGCAAGCATGGCCTCCACCCCACTTTTATTAGACGACCGCACGCATCGCTCTCCCGGTGGGACCCAATATTGACTTCGACCTGGTGTATGTTCTTCCCCCTGGGGGGCCAAAGTCCTTCAGTTCATAGGTGGAATCAGGTCGGCCGGTCCTCGTCACCCACGGGAGGAGCGCCGTGCACGGCGGTGCTAGCTGCTGGCTGGCTGCCAAATATTTTATCTGGAAATTGCGGGGCACGGGAGTTCGGCCCTCGAAGGCCGACGAGGAAGACCCCAGATCCTACGTGGTCTCCCGAGACTTGCTTCTTCACGCTCAGTGGCTCACGTTTGGAACGTGAGACACCCTCGGCCTGACGGTATCTCAAACGTAGGGGAACCTCCTCCTTTGTGTAACATCCATCTTTGTGTTACGTCCCTGCTTCCCCGAACGACCGGCCCGCTCGCCGAGCGTGGCGGTGGTGTCGCCGTCGGAGTTGAACAGGCTGGAGCCGCGTCGCCCCCAGGTGGGTGAGGAGAACCAGATTCCTGCTTGCCGTTGCCATCACGTGGAGGGGCCTAACCTAGAAGGAGGATGCTTTGAATCACAGAGCCGGAGTCGACATTCAACTAAGAAACTCCTGCCATACTCTGGAATGTTGTAGTCGTTCACGGTTTGCCTTCTCATCAGGTCTGTTGTGGACGGAAATAGAGATTAAAGAACTTAAAGGCATCAGCCTGACTTCTAATGTTTAAAATATCTGTTAAGTTGTGACAATGCTCTTTATAGTCTGAATCGTAAAGATTGCTAACGTTTATTATCTGCATTAATGAAATAATCAAGAGTTCAATATTTACATTTTTATTATTGCTATGTTTTTTAACAGCGTATTCATGCCTGGAGTATCATTCATGACTCTTAATTGGGGTTCATAGGCTGAATAACAAAAACAAGAATTCAAGTTTCAACAATAGTTTTCTCCATCACACAGGATCGGATCATGAAATCAGGTGTGGATTGGATAAGCCGTAGAATATATTCTATTGTCTAAGACAATCTTAATAAGCAATTAAGAGAGGTTTGGTGCATCTGAATCCATTGTATTAATTCCATTTCCTACTCTCAGTATGCTCTTTATGATCAAATAAAAGTGCCCCTATATTGATTTACATCCAAATCTTTGTTCTAGCTAAAATGAAGCCATCTAACATTGTTCCTCACTCTCACAGCTTAAGGCCGACCATTAATTTTTGACCCAAAAATAATTGAATCACTTTTGCATTAACCTTTATGAAAATATCATACCATTTACTTTTAATTATTGGGACTCTTCGCAAATTTAAATTTTTGGTGAGTCCTTTTTATGTCACGTCGGTTTTTTTGATGTGTTTGTTGTCCAAAAACATTAGAGAGATTTAAGGAACGATATTGGATGTTCTAGGCTTTGGGCTTTTTAGATGTTCTTTGTAAGACCGTACAAAACATCTACGATGTCCTGTACATAAGCATCATTCGTCGTTTCCCCAATCCTATTTCAGTCTCCATCCATCCTCATATGATCGGTTGAACTTTTTTTTTGCGGCACTACGACCAACTCTAGTTACATCATACTCAGCAATTTAGTACCGTACTTCAAATAAATCATTTATTAACTTAAAATTCATTTAAATTTGTGTCATACCTTGAACTTAATATCATCGTTGCTTGCGAAAATGGTTTTTTTTTCTCATCTAAAAACAATACCATGTTTGGAACCTCCCTCTTATCGCCTATCCTAAAGAAGCCTCATATTCCCTTATTTTTTATGCCTCTTAAAACATTGAGGAAACAACTTTATCAATGAGTGATACATGGTATTAATGATTATATCTTGACATTATGCATAATTCAAAAATATATGGCAATATCTACGTCTATATGGATGCTACCATAGGTAAGATTTTTCACAACAAAGTTAACATACCTCCAAATGTATAACTCCAAGTGTAATAAAAATGCCAAAATATGTAACGAGATCGATACTATTTAGAAAAATGATAAAAATAGGTTTTGAATATATGATTTGATAGATTTAAGAGCAACACGTCACTTGATGATTCTTACCTTTACACGACTGAAGCCTCTATATATGAAATATGCTACTTGCTGGACAAGTTAGAGTTGACTATAAGTATGCTGTACTGATTGTGGATATCATGGTGAGGTCGTTTCACCTTGTAGGACTAAATTATTCATATTTTATTGAATTGATCATAATTTTTACGAACCGTACAAAGTATGAACTAATGTGAAGAATGAAGTAAATATAGTACGAATTAAGGGTAAATTAAATACCGAGTTTTAAGAGTAATTTAGATGATGTATCTTGTGATAACTACTCTCGTAGACTTTTAAGGTAATAGAGGTTTGGGTGATGTAATAAATGATCAACATTGAAGAATGACGCAGCGACAAAATAAAATGTCGCCTATACTTTGATGGTGTCCCGTTGAATATCTCGGCCAAAAGTAACTGTCCCCGCCGACGAAGATGTGGGTGCAACATGAGAATCAGCTGACAAGTTATTGACGAAGAACAAAGGCCAAGAGCTCCCAAGTAGGCCGAAAAAAGGTGGTTCGAAGAATCATTAAGCGACGAACTGCAGGAGACCAAGAGATTGAGCTTGGTATTAAATACGAAGAACCTAAAAGGGGAAGAAGATTTCTTGATGCCCAGACGTATTCCTTTTCGTCTCTAGTGCTTTGGTTCCTTGAGGACTGAGCAGCCGCAGCAAACCCGGCTGACCCCTGCCCGAGGACGCCAGCTTCGTCAGTTGCTCACAAATTCAAGCCATTGGCCGTAGCGCAGAAGCGAAGTGACGATCGTCGGCGGGGAACAGTCGGGAGCGATAGGGGCACACGTGGGAGGCTCTTCCTGCTCCATCGAGCCCGTGCGATGAGCATCCATCGGCCCCCCCGGTACCGAAGCCTCTGGTAATTAAACCCCATGGCAGGAGAAGATGGGGACGGTACGGCCTCACTCTCGCGCTGATGTCATCACCAGCTGCATCGCTCAGGCCTGTCTTTACATCAGACTGTCCTCTTCGATCAGAGCGCCGCCAGATGGGGTTCGTCCACAGTCGAGGGCCGCTTGGCGTTCTTCTGCTCTGTCAGTCTGTGTTGATGACGCTTGAAAACTAAGTCTTCTCAAGAGCTTTAGGCGCATTGATCGGATACGGCGGGTTATCCAGATTCCTGCGGATGCGTCGGAAAGTTGCTGCTCGGGAGGGAGGGGGGTTGCTCCGCGGGTCCAGATTCCAACAGTAAGTGGCTCTACCTGTCGCGGATCCTCTGTCATTTCAGATGGAAAGAGGAGGAAGAAGAGGAGAAAGAAGGAAGAAGAACGAAGTAGGCTTCCACATGCACCCACCCATTGTATACACAGTATCCGGCATCCTGTGGACGACGGATGACGATGATCGAGAGAAGAAGAGGCAAAGAAAAAGAGGAATAAAGTGTTGCATAGGCGCCGCGTCGGGAGAAACCCACGTAAGAATTACAAAGCCGGTCGATCGAATATTAGCTCGGACCTCGATGGTTGATAAAGGGAAAGCTAAGCGGGTCGTTCCCGGCAACTAGGCCATGGCGTCGGAGGAAGCTTTCCGACTGCTGGCCAGGCTCCACTGGTCGGAATTGGCCCCCGAGGCGGCTGCTCCATAGCCGCACTTGGCTACCGTCCTCACGCTTTCTATCAGTGCCTCTGTTCTCGTGTCCTGCGACAGGATGTCCGCCAGTTGAGCCGGGCTGATCACGAGCTTCACCTTCCACACGCCGTGGGCACCGCCGCTGGCTACGCTCCCAAGGTTGGCGCCGGTGCATCTCGGGGGAGCCTCCGACTCTTGCTTCTTCGAGAAACCTGGTTGGTTGAAGGACACCCTGTAGGAGGCAACGATGGAGGAGGCACCAGCGACGGGGTCGTTGATGGGGCGGAGGTAGTACGTCTCTCCCGCCAGTAGCTCCTCATTGTGGAGAAGCGGCGACGACCGGGATTTTGCGCAGCGGAAAACACCGTGCCCGGGGAAGCCGTTGGTGATGCATTCGACGGTCACGGGCGGGCGGAGCTCCATCACGCCGCCGCCGCTCGTCATCACCCGGACCATCCCATCGTCAGCGCCGCCCGAGCGTCGCACCATACAGTTCCCCATCTATCCGGACGTTTTGGCGCTGCAGGAGAGACCGATATGCTGCAAACAGTCCCTCCCTCCTCCTATTCCCCCTCTTTACGAGCCAGAACAGAGCTCGCCGGGCAGAGGGGGGAAAGGACCCACGCTCCCCCTTGTCTTCCCCCAATTGGGCCTACTGTCGATGATACCCGCCGCTCGGTCCCTAGAGCTCGAGAGAGGGGCGCTGTCCCCGTCACTGGTCCGATCAAGCTCGGAAACCTTCCTAGAGACTGGGCGTAGTTATTACTCGCTTGACCACTCCACCTTTTTTCCTTTGATAAAGTCGAAGGGAGTGAAGTCTGGTGCAACAGAGCTCCTCGAGCCATGATGAGACCATGGTCCGGCCCTTCGCCAGGCTCGTCGCCCGCCATCCAACCTTCCCTTGGAGGGCGGTCGGGAATTTCGGAAGGGAAGGGGATGCCCACCAGCTTTAGCGGCCGCGGGGTCCCTCTTTATATCGGCCTTTCGCTTTACACCCACCTTTTCATTCCTTCTGTTTCCTCCGGAGGCGCGGCAATGGCGGTGCCGTGCACGCGGGCCCGAGCGCGAAGGCGCCAAGTGGGGCGGCGCGGCGTGGTGATGATGGCGCGGCGGAGAGCAGGCCGGTACCACTTCCCGCCGGAGTGCCGCGTACGCGGCGGCGGCGGGGTCCGGAATCCGGACTAGCCCCAGTTCTCCGCGCACTTGAGGCGTGGCATCTTATAGTCTCGACCCTCGACACGGCATTGACCTTCGCGGCGTGCCTCATGACAGTCAACACCGACTGTCGACACCGCCACCTCGGTGAGAATTTTTCTCCCGATTTGCAGAAAATTCGGGGGGTGTTAATGGGTAAAAAGCCGAGTTTTTTCTTAAGACGTTTCATGGGTCGGATTATGCTCCCGAAATGCAGTCTTCCTCATCACAGGAAAGAAGATGAGCCTAAATCCCCATATTTTTTTTATCTGCACTGGTAAATTCCAAGAAAATTATTAGACTAATATTCCAGTTCATTTGTTTAGTTAATTAGTTCAACATACAATAAGATTAAAGTCGAGGAACAAGCCAGAGCTGACCTGTACCACACTTCTGCAGTGGGCTCGAGAAGGCCAAATTAAGTCAGAGCTGACCTGGGCTTCCGAGTGGTCAACCCACACTAGCCACTTTGCCTGTACAACTTGGTTTGAAAGCCACGAGCCCGCCAAGACGGAGCCCATAATTTTCGCTGCGGAGAGAGAGAGAGAGAAGAGGGGGTAGATTTTCTATGGACGCCGCCTTGGCGGGCTCGCGGATTTTCAAACGAGATTGCGGGGCACAGGGGAGGCGTCTTTCTTCCGCGGCAGGGAGGAGGGAAGGAACTGCAGCAGGGAATACCCAGAGATGGGTTGCGCCTCCTCCAGATTCCTCAAGGACGAGGATGGCGGCGTGATCGTCGGCGCCGGCATTGGACACCACATCGTCTCCCTGACCTCTACAACCTACGGCCTGCTCACTACCCTCGACCAAAGTTCGACGCCCACTGACCTGATTAGCACCGTCTTCTCGCCCTCCCGCTCCCCTCATCCTCCTCCTCCTCCGCCACCGCCGCCGCGGCCGCTGGTTTCCTCCCGATTTCACCTTCGCTCGGCCACGGAGCCTGAGGTCATCAACTCGCGAGATATCATGGCCAGTTTCTACCCCAACAACACCCCTCCGTCACGGTCTCCCCTCCTCGCTCTCAGAGATCCCATCACTCGAATCCGGAAGCTGTCTCCGAATTCCAAGCCCCTCCTTTCCTTGTCCCCGGGAAAGGAGAACTTCAACTCCAACCGGTCCCTCCTCCCATGCTTCGCTTCTGTTGCCGAGACGCAGGAACGGAAATCGGGCGTCGCCGTCAAGCTGTTTAGTGATCACAGCACCGTGCCAAGGGCGAGCTCCTGCTATGCACTGGAGATGTTTCCGAGGAGATGCCCGCCTGGCGGTGAGAACGCCGCCGTCATCTACACCACGACCCTCCGCGGGATCCGGAAGACCTACGAGGACTGCAGCGCGGTGCGAGCGGCGCTGCAAGGACTCGGTGTCTGGTTCAAGGAGAGGGACGTGTCTATGGATATGGGATTCCGTCAGGAGCTGCGAGAGCTGTTGAAAGGCCTCCCCGACGCCGCCATGCCAGTCACCCTGCCGAGGTTGTTCGTGAGGGCCAGGTACATCGGCGGGCCGGAGGAGGTCCTCCGAATCCACGAGGAAGGTGGCTTAGAGAAGCTGCTGGACGGGCTTCCGAGGGCGCAACCTGGTCACCTCTGCGACGGGTGCTGCGGAGACAGGTTCCTTCCCTGTTTCCGGTGCAATGGGGGAAGGAAATTGGTCGCGCTGACGGCGGCCGGTGGAGGAACTGGAAACGGCGGCTGCGGCGGCGGGATAGTGAGATGCCCCGAGTGTAATGAGAATGGCTTGGTCCCCTGCCCACTTTGCCGCTGACGATCCCCACCCCGTCAGTCCTCTCCCTAGTCGCTGTAGGGACGTGTTCGCTTACCATGGGCGAGAGGCTAAATTTCTTGATTCCAGGTCAAATCTTCAACTTCTTTGCCCCCTCAGTTCGGGGTCGATATGAAGAGAGCCGATTGTGGAGCTCTTACGTTCATTCAATGTTGGTGGTCAACGGCTAACGAGAGGGCCATGTATTTTCGTTCGTCTGCACCAGAGGCGGACAGCGGCGAGGAAAGATGACGCGACGTCACCGGGGACAATGCGACGTGGAGGGTCTGAGGCACGAGACCACCGTGCGGGCGAGCACCCAGCCCTTTTTAGGCCAGAAAAGGGCTTCTTCCCACTTCCCGCCAACCTCTGAGGGCCGGCGGCAGTCCCAACTCTTCCAAGTGAGCCATTGCCGAGACCATCTCTACGTAACGTTCGTCCTAGTTTTGTTGGAACCCTAGATTAGGGCTCAGCAAGCACCAAAATCAACCTCTCCCGTTGTCGGCGCGTCGCCAGTGTCTGTCTATTCTCTCTCTCTCTCTCTAGCTTCCCCGTCCATCGAAACTCGGACCTGGATACTCACACGTCGGCCCCGTGAGGGGACAACAGATCCGGTACAAATACGGGAAAGATCTCCATCATCCAGCTTCTGCGCCGGCACGTGGTCGCCGCTTGCAGACCAGCGGCGCTGGCATCTCCCGCTTCCCATCTCGAGACGCTCCGATGGACTGCGAGCGAGTTCCTCCATTCCGGCTTCGATGCTCTCTTGACCGACTTACCCTTCGTTCCCTTAGTTTTGTTGGATTCATTCCTGGGAGAGTTGTTAATTTGATGTTAACTTAGGGGTAGCGGGCCGCTGCTTCCTCTTACAGCAGCCATAAAACCGTGGCTCCTCCTCCATAGGCTGCGGAGAAGACCCTGTTACACCCAGCTTCGCCACCTCCACAGTCGCGTCCTTGGAAGTCTAACTGTGCTGCTCCGTTTCCTAGTGCTTCCATGGGGAAGAAAGATGCAAGCTCGTGGTTGACGGCGGTGAAGAGGGCCTTCCGGTCGCCCTCTAAGGAGTCCGAAAAGAAGTCCGGGGATTCCGCAGCGCAGGGGGAGGAGCTCGAGGTGGAAGACAAGGGAAGGGTTCGTATTCTATGGCGAGTAAACCCTTTTGATCTTTCCTCGCTGACGGGTCCCCGGGGACGTGGTTTAAACTCTTTTTATTCGATGATACTGCCATTGCAGACGAGGGAGAAAACTAGATGGTTGTTTCGCAGACCCGCCGGCCACGTAGACGAAGCCCCACCGTCGCCGCCGGGGTCTCTGCCTGTTCTCCAGTCGACGGTCAATGCCGGAGGAATGCAGCCCGCTGCGGAAGCCGCGGCGACGGCAGCTTCCGACGAGACTGCGGTGGGGACGGCACCGTCCGTCGTCGCGGTGGCCAGGTTTCCTCGTCCTCATTCTACACGCGCGAGGGAGTATTTCGCCGCCGTCAATATCCAGGCAGCTTTCCGAGGATATCTGGTAGGTACTGTCTTTCTGATACTTCGTTTGCTTCAAAGCAAATTGAAGTGTGGAGGAACTGAGGACGGGGAGGGTGAGCGCAGGCGAGAAGGGCACTCCGGGCGTTGAAGGGCCTGGTGAAGCTGCAAGCTCTGGTGCGGGGCCACAACGTCCGTAAGCAGGCCAACGCGACCCTCTGGTGCATGCAGGCCCTTGCTCGAGCACAGGCTCGGGTGAGGGACCAGCGCCTCCGGCTTTCTCTGGAAGGGGGGCGCGACAATAGGTCCTACAGCTGCGACGCCAAGCTCTGGGAGCCAGCCATCCCGGAGAGGAAGTCCATGGTGAGTATGGCGACCTCCCCTTCTCACCGAATTCTCGCCACAGACCGTCATGGAAGTACAACGAGGTTCCTTCCCATTGGTTGCAGTCCAGGAACGGCTACGCAGCAGATGACTCTGTGGACCGTTCTTCAACCATGGATAAGTTCAAGGTGATGATTCATGGCCGAATGGAAGCCGCCCGGAGACGGGAGCAGCGGCCCTCTCACGCCTTCCCCCATCAGGTTCTTCAACTTCTGTGATCTATTTCTTGATAGCTGGTCTCATTCTGAACGGAAGAACTCGTCGGGTGGGCACAGAAGGACAGCGGGGGTGGCGATGAAGAGCGGAGGGCTCCGGAGGGTCTCGACCGGTGGACACCGGCGCGGCCGTCGTGCGATCATGGCTGCGGGAGCAAAGCAAGGAGAGCTTCTACAGATACGAGGGACTCCGTGAAGACGCTGGAGATTGACCCGGGGCGACGCCTCCCTACCAACTCTGCCACCAACTCACGGAAACCACACCAGCCACCGGGACACTTTCAGCCTGTTGCCGTGGTCTCCCCGCTCCAGAGGTCCTGTTCCCAGAGTCAAATCCACCCCTCCTTCCACACACCATCGCCGGTCAAAACTCGGCCCTTGCAGGTCCGCTCGGCGAGTCCGCGATGTGCCAGGCCGGAGAGGCCGATCTCCTCCTGTTTAAACCACCGCCACGGCTCAGGTTCAGGGCACCACCAGGCGGCGGCGGTGGCAGCGTTACCGAATTACATGGCCGCCACAGAGTCGGCAAAGGCCAAGCTCCGGTCCCAGAGCACGCCGAGACAGAGGCCCGAGACGCCGGACCGGGAGAGCGCCATGTTCTCCACCAGGAAGCGGCTGTCCTTCCCCGTCCCAGATCCTCGCGCCGGTGGCAGAGGGTGCTTGAAGAGCCCTAGCCTCAGGAGCGCCAACGGGCGGTTGGGAATCGAACGGAGGTCGACGATTTCTTCCTGTTCGGAGAGCCTGCCAGGGGAATCCTCACCGTCCTCCACCACGGACCTCCGCTGGATGTGGCAGAGGCCCAGAGATCATCTTACTCTACTGTGATTTCGCTTTTGTTTCCTCACGAGGCCCGGATCTAATCGTCCCGACGTAAAATCTCGCGCGCAAGTTCTGGGTCTGCTGACGAATAAAGGAGACAGCTTTAGTCAAATCCCGAGGCTACGGGGTCTTGTCGACGGCCTCCGTGGCCTAAGGGGAAGCGGGCTTTGTGGTTTCCGAGCCCGGCCCGGCCCGGCCCAGCAAGTGTTTATTTAGTCAACGTAGGTCACCATAATTCCTAAATACGTGGGATGATACGTGATTATATGGGGCAACGACGATATTTTCCAACGGCAGTGAACAGTGGAGCTGCGATGCGAGCGTGTATCTCTGCGAGCGGTTACTGTGGGACGCATCCAAGTGGCCGCCGATGAGGGAACTGGTGGCACCGTCAGCAGACCTCTGCCGATGCTGTGGGGGAACCCAACGTGCTTCCACTGGACGGAGGATGAGGCATGGGATACCCACAGTAAAGCGCAGTTGATGGGACCGGACTGTTCATCTAGCTGCGGCTACTGTAGCTGTCGCCGCTGCCGCTGCCGTCGGAGAGGTGCGATGGCCGCCAGAGGTATAGGGAAACCGTCTCGCCGTGCGGTTTACGCGGACTCGCCGCTAGTGCCGGTATCAGTTATCGGACCCATCTGCCCCGCTCTAGTCCGGGCGGTGCTCGACTGCAAGGCTTTGGCCAATGGCCGGCCACTGGACGGGCGCTGCTCCACTGTTTCGAGATTGGTACATGGCGCCACTGTCACTGGAGCTGTCTGATGAGGAAAGCTTGCCGTCTGCAGGAGATGAGTTTCCTAACGAGGAGCGGAACGACCTGCCGCCGCTGTTTATCTGGTCTCAGTCGCTGATGGTGGCTCCGAAGAGTCTTTCCTGACGAGGGCCGTCGGGCCAAGTATCTGTCCAATTGACGAACAGCAGAATGATTTTCCACGCCCACAGAATTCGAACGCAACGATCGCCATTGCCCAGTCTCCGGCTTCAAATCTCCTCCTTCCCTCAGACGAAAGTCTGTGCGATGGAGTGAGCATCGTGGGCGCATAGAATCCTCTCGGTTTCATTCCTCCGGCAGCATAGACTGAAACGGGTGCTGTATATCAGAACTAGCGTTACCCTAGAAAGCAGTGTCACCGTCTTTTGGCGTTCCACATGCTTTCTTAAACGAGGGGCAAGCTCGGTGCATATGGTAACCACAGTACTTCTTTCCCCTTAATTTCTCCACTTCTTGCCATTTGTTCTCCGCCAGCTTTCTGGCTGTCCATTCCACATTTGAAATGATCGCCGCCTCGGCTCCTTGCCTCGTTTCATCCATACATGTACATATGACAGAAATAGAGAGAGAGAGCGCTCAAAAGGGTCCGGGTGGGGGAGCACCTATGGCGGAGGTGCCAAGTTGTCGATATACTAGAAGATCAGATCCTGCCGACGCAGCTCCTTCTGTTGAGCCGCCGGGAAGGGAGAGATAAACTGCGATCTTGCACCACTGCCCGTCCCTCTCCACGGGTAAAAAAATCACAAGCATCATAAATAACAAAAATGTATGTGTCCTTCGGCGGTCATCATCCCCCCGACACCTCACGAAGAAAGAAATAAAAAACAGGAACCAGTTCAGAATCTATCTTAAACCGGCTATCCTACTAGCGAATTCATTAGGTTCTCTCTAAGATTTCTGATTCCTTCGCTGTCCAGGTCAAACTTTAGGTAGAACCGGGGACTTGATTTCATCCTTCGCAAGGAATCCATTGCGGATGGCATCATCTTTATTCCGCTTGAACGCATCTAGAAAGTCGGGGATCATCGTCGAGGAGAGATGACATAGGGAAGATGTCGCTGATATTACGAGAGGATGAGCACGAAACACGGGTAACTTAACAAGTTACGAATTCTGAGAGCAAAATTATCGAGGAAAACAAGTAGTCAACTTCCCAGGGTAAAATTACCAAGAAAATTTAGAGGGCGGGGAAGAAATGGAAGAAGATGCCGTTGGATAGGCAGGGCGCTTGATTTCCCGACGCCACTACGACTGAACGTCCTTGCTCCGCCCCTCCCATCGGCTACGCTACAATGGGTCACCGGAAAAGCAGGAAGGAAAAAGGCTGTGACGACCCTAATTCCATCAATGCATCGCATGCTACGTCCATCTCTAGCTCCTTACCAGAGACAACGATCTCTCCATATAATTATTACCTCACTATTACTCCTGGGTTAATCGTCCTCCTTTCGGGGAAGGCTCTCCCCCGAGCTGAACCGCGAAGGCCCCTTATTTTCCTTCAACAGTGCCATCTTCACCCTCTTCTCCGGGTAGGATGCTTCACCTTGTTTCACCCTCTCAGCCATTAAGGCCTTCCTCGGACGACTGGTACCGTGGGCTTGGCTCGTCTACGTCCCCGACACTCCCTTTTCCAACCACGCAGAGACTCCTAGGGACCTCACCATCCAGCGGCTATTTCGCCCTTTTTAGGCGACTATTATGTTCTGAGTAGAATTTGTTCAGTCCCTCTGATTTTCTTTCTGGAATGAGGTTTCTTTATGTCAATTACAGTCGAATTCCTTGACACGAGAGTATGGTATGTTCCCTCTCATTCTGCGTCCCCGGGCATCTTCCATAGGGTTGCGCCGTCGAGCTTGGCCACCGTCGCGTGGCCGAACTTGGCCTCGCCGGTTTTACTCTCAGGGCTTCGCCTATGCTGCTGCAGCTTCCTCAATCAGTCATCTGGTGTCCCTCTTCAAGGTTGCTAGTCGTGGAGGAGCACTCGTTGTTAAAGACTAGCTATAGAACGGACTGGTGTCCCTTCATTTGTATTCATGGGGATATCATCAACGTCGACGAAAATTCTCTGGGGATCTTGGCTCTCTGCGTTTATCCGTGGGCCTGAAAGCTCTTCAGCATCTTCTGGGATTGGGCTCTCTCCCAGTAAAGATATGATGCCAGCCTTCCTCCTCGGCTCCAAGTCGAGGGTTCTAAATCAGTCCAGACGCCAAGGGTTTCTTCCGAGTCTCAATCTATGAGGATGGTCGCCACCTAATAGATCCTGTTGACTGTTACGACACAATCGAGGCGCCTCAATATCTCACTGTGGCTCGCCCAATTTCTTACGAGATTGTCTATGCGGCCAAACTGCTGATGCTCGCACCGGAGGCATTAATCGTATGCGTACCTCTGTTGCCGCGAGCCAGAAGCCTTACCCGATCTTAGAACATGACTTCACCATGCCTCTGCCAAGCCATCGCGTCCGCAACTGGTTGGATGCGCTCTGTGTCAGGCTCTCAACGCCATAGCCAGAAAGTTGGCAAACAGATCTGAAATAAATATGAATTCGATGGACATGAATGTGGGGCTTTTCATGAAGTGATTGTATCCGGGATTAAAAATGCAAGTAGATCCACGATTTTAATCTTTTGGGTATAGTGGGTCAAGTGATGCCCGAGTCGATTCTTCTCGCGGGTCTGAGCGTCAAGATCAGGTTCCCGGAGATGCGTTTCTGCCAAAAAACGTGCATACCACACGATCGAACATTAAAATCCTCCGGTGGGGGAGAAATCTCCGTGTCTCTGTCTCTGTCTCTCTCGTTATCGCGCTTTGGTTTCATTAGGGTCTGGTTCAGAACCCATTTTTCAGGTTTTCGTTGACTTACCAGAATCTGACCCAGGCACGGTGACACTTCGTCAACGTCTAGCCTGTTCACCAGAAATCTACTGAAAATGGCAGCCCATTTATTTAATGAAAATCTCGTTTAGAGAAAGATATATCTCCTCGACAACCTGACAAAGTTTCTATTTGACGAGATGGAGACATTGACGACGGGTGAAGTTGCTTCCATTTCGGGAACGTCTGCAACCTCACTCTTGTTCACGAATAACAGAACGCAACTTGGAAAAAGTCAGCGCGGGTTCCTCAATTACTTTCTCAATCCATTATGATACCATGTGATCGAAAAGATGAGGTCTTCACCGGTAAGAGCATCGGCCGGCGATGAGGTCTTCACTGATAAGAGCATCGGCCGGCAATGAGGGCAGCTCAAGCTGTGCACAATCGATCGATCTAAGGATCGTTGTTGGGCAGAAAACTCCGGCATCTGCCCTTGATCGAGCCCTCGCTGGCATTTCTGGTTTCTCTATCATCGCCCATGGTGGCGGCTCGAGGGGGATCAGAACTCGATCTCGAAGTTTGAGACTTTTTATCCAAATTGATGAGGACGAGTAGATGCCAAGAAACATGCCGCCGAGCACATGTGGGTTTTCCTCTCGCTCGCCCGCAAGCACCCATCACGGGGAACACAGTGACGGCCCTGTACAAGGGAAATCGAATCCCCAGAGACCCCCCAGAGAAAGAGAGAGAGAGAGGATCACGCCAGGAGCGGATCAAGCCTGGAGGAGGTGGATCCTGGCGGAGTCCGGCCTTTCAAGAGGACTCGGAGCTGGGCCATTTGGCAGTCCACCTTCGCGCCCGGATCCTCTTCGCTTTCTCTCGAGCAGGGTGACGAGAAGGCGCGCACGCGGGGGCCTCTGGGGAACTCGACGAACCCTTTCATCCCTCGCCTGATGTGAGGATTCTCGATCTCCTTCCTGAGATGGTGACTCCGCCGCAGACCCCAAGCACCGCCGCTCCTGTCGCTGCCGATGGAAGCCGTGTTTGGAAGACTTGTCGTCGCCGATGCGCCTCTCTCAGCCTCTTCCCCCGCTCGCAAAGGGCCGCATCTCCGCGCCGACGAGGGACTCTCTTCCATGGCTGGCAGCTTCTCCTCCGGCACCCGCATCTTCGCCATCTCCTCCTCCACCGACCTCCCCAGCAGGTTCATCTCCTCTCGTCTCCGAGAAACTTCCGCCGCCAGCTCCTCGCAGGCGCGCTCCTTGGCCTCCCGGCGCGTCCTCTCGTCCGACAGCTCCCTGGCGACCTCCCTGTTCAGGGCCTCCGCGTTCTTCCTCAGCCCCCTCTCGACCTCGAGCTCCGCCTTCAGTTCCTTGACCCGCGAGCGGATCAGATACAGCTCGGAGACGATCTCCTCTGCGCGGCCGCCCGCAGGCTGCAAGAAGGTGGTGAGATCCCGGAGCGAAGCGGCGAGCTTCCGGGCCGGGAGGGGGATCTGAGCACAGTCACTTTGGTCGCGGACGGAGTTCGAGCTGGAGCGCCGCCGGTGGCGGCGGCGATGATGGTGATTATAAAAAGGGTTGTCGTAAAGCTTCCAGCTGGTCACGGCGGTGCCTCCTCCCGCCATGTCCTCCGCCTCCGCTTTCCTTCCCTCCATCTTTCTCACCCCTTCTTTCTCTCCTGTGATCAAAAACCGGGCCGAGGTAGGGGGGTGGGAATCCGATGCAGGGGGCAACTTTTCTCGACGTCGTCGTCGTCGTCTTCTTCTGCGGGTCCTCATAAACAGGGTGGGTGGTCGTCTTCTTCCAAACGCCAGCGCCTTCTCCTTTTCTTAAATGCCCGCAGGCCACTCGCTAGGGTCCTCGGTCACATCCCTGCCGCGCTTTAATCACTTGGGAGACTTCAATTCCCACCTGTAAGAAGCGGGATAGTGCTCTCAAATGCGGTGCCTTTCAGAAATCTGAAGACAAGTTACCGACTTGCCGGCTGCTCCGCCGGGCAAGGATCAGGCCTGGGCTTTACTCACGAGTTCGGGCCGCTTTTAGGGCCCGGCCCGTGTTGCATACTACCTTCTGTGAGTTTCACCACGGCAAAAGATTTCTAACCGAGAGGGTGAGAGGGGAAAGCCTCTGACATCCATCCCTCTTTTGGGTTGTCTCCTCTGTGGCTTTCTCGGACAGAATATGGAGCAAGCTTTTCTCAAAAGGTAAAAAGTCCTGCTTGGTTCTGGCTAAGGCTCAGTGAGAAGCCTGGAAAATGGGCTCCAGGCTGGACCCATATGGACCCTCCATATGGGAAATTTCTTTCTCTCCTTCCCCTCCATATGAACACCGCAGGAAAATTTTCATCAGCCCTGATGGCGACAATGATTTGGCAGAATGTCTTTATTTAATCAGCCGAAAGTACCAGAGAAAGGAGGATAGCCAATATAAAATCTACAGGTGGAGAAGAACAGATTTACACCAAATCGACGCATGTGAATTGGAATGATACTGCAGTTGTAATGGAAGAGTTCCTCAGAATGAATGGACCTGATTCCTGCTCCTTCATAATGGGGAGCTGCTCCGAATTCTCTTCTGGGAATTATCCAGATCAAAGACAATGATGGTCACTTATGTCAACTGAATTTTTTCATGATTTGAATAAACCCGATTTGCCAATCCAAAATACAAAGTTGATCTCGAGTTCACCAATTACGACGACCATAAACTGAAAAACACATTTCTGCAGATCCCATGCACAAATAACTTATAGTGATTTCTCTGCTAGGACTCATATACATCACCTTCATACTCGTCTTCCCTAGAGAGAAGCCTTATCCCAGTTAGCATCTAGCAAAACATAAGTCAAGTTTAGTGAAGGCCCTCCAGTTCCTTCCCTTCAATATCCCCCTTTGATGCGATTGCCAAAAACCATCTACGTTCCTTTCGAGTGCCAAAAAGAACAAGACAAAGCTGCTTGATGAGCACTAAAAACCTTGGGTTGCATGCAAGTCAAACTAATGCAAGTTGCAATTGACATTATAAGTTAGAAAATAACAGCAGATCCCAGTGTTAATGGAGGAGGTGGTCAAGATGCCATCAATGCAAAGGGAATCGAGAAATTGGCAACTAGATTTTTAGGGTCCAGGGTTGCTCAGAAGAGAAGCAAATATTTATCTCCCTTCCGATTCAGAAAACAGAGAAAAAAAAAATCTTAATGGAGAAGTGCTTTATTTCTTAACTTCGACATACTTGGGTCTTGACTCTGGGATGTTGCAAGCTAACTGGTGTGTATTGTAGCCAACAACTAAAATGCCGCGATACCAACCCCTGACAATCCTTGACTTCACATACCTAGATTTTGGCTTCACGATTTCTCGTAACAAGATTTCGTTTCCATGAGTTTTCATCACTATATCAATACAAATATTATGGGGCCCGGAAAATTTCCAAAAACTAACGAGCTATCTACTATCCTTCCATTAGATCCATCATTACATCAGGAGAAGGAATGCGGCTGCATGCACTCATTGGATGTCTTCACTAAGTTCTGTCGTTTGTTAAGCTGATGACACATCACTCATTACAAGTAGGCCACTGCACAAGCTCTGTGAGTTGATACAAGATTAACAGTCTTGCTTTATTATTGACTAAACAATAGCATATCATTGAAGCAGCGTACCTCCTGAAGTGAATCATTCAGGGTTGAGAAAATAAAATTCTGAATTTAACGAGGCACATGCAAAATGCAATCTCTGCACACTTGTCCTTCATAAGATGGGAAAATCTGAACTAGCACCAAAAGAGCCCTAGAAGTACTTTACTCATCATATCTTGCATCAGTCATGGGACATGGCAAGCAATAATCCTAGATGAACAAGCATTCACATCTAATTTATCAGATTACAACGAAGAGAGGAGACAAAAAGTGAAGTACAAACGAGGCGGGCGTGAATTTAACAGGGTGATAGTGGCAGATAAACCTGATTTCTGAAACAGGATAATCAAATTACACCATTCTCCCACTGAAGTCACATATTTCTTTACTCTGTGTCTTTACTAATTAAGGGGAACCGATTTTCCCCCCGCATAATTTTTCTTTCTTTGGTATATTTCACAGTTCGAACTCGTCGTCCACCTTCAAAGCTTCAGCCGCAGCTTCCTCCTCCTCATCATCAATGACAAAATACGGATTGTGCGCCTCTGGCCTGAACTTGTATCCAGTGAATACGAAAAAGGCAAGCGTTGCCAACTCCTTGGCCACCTCACTTGTCCACTGATAACGATAGGAGGTGATGATCGCCAAGGCATACACCCCGATCCTCGTAAAATAGATGTAGCATATAACAACAATATAGTATTGACGGAACAACGTGAGTTTCATAAGATTCACGGCGGCCTTTCCATCAGTGCGTGCTGCTTCCCTCAACTTCTTGATTGACCAGACTATAGGGAAAAGGACGGCACAACAGCAAATGACATCGACGAGGAGCCAGATCTGCTTCCAGGATATCGAACCACTGGTGGCGAAAGGATTTTCATCGAGGACAACCAGCGCAATATTGGCAATTACTTGGAGGGGAATGACGACCATAAGCACCTTCTTTTCCTTGTCCTGCAGGAAAGGCTTCAGGAAGGACCATCCCGTCCCGATGAGGACGATAAGCGTAAATAGTGTTATTCCCTTGAGAAAGCTGAAGATGTAAAATAGCACATCCCACCCGTGGGCACTGCCAGTACGCCTGATGTAGGACATATCTTCGGCCTCACAGAGGAGGTTAATGGCCTTGAGAACGACCAATGCGAGCATGAAATAATGGATGCGGAAAGCAGTGAGCCGCTTCTTGTAGAGGAGGTAGATCCAGAGGCCGGCGAGGGGGGCATACACCAGGAACAAGAGGAAGTAGAACCGAGGGAGAACCGTGGTACCCGACGACAGGTAGTCCCGGGCACCCGTGTCTGGGTCCTTGTTGTACATGGCAGAGCGTATGTCCATAGACACCTCGAGCTGACGCTTTACGCAATTGGCGAAAACGAGGGTGTACTGACCGGGCTTCTTTACTTTGTAGACAACACCGAATGGGGAGTCAATTTTCTCATGAGATGGTTGGCGTATAAGATCGAACGTGAAGACGGTCTCGATTAGATCAGAATGGAGAGGACAAGTGCCATTACTATCCTGGTTCTCCTGGAGGACACGGAACCAGGCGTCCCGCGTGGTGAGGAAGAAGCCGAGGTGGACGAGCTCCTCGCTTTCGATGCTCCTAGGGGAAACGAACCAGGAGACGTTGAGCTCCAGCTCCCCGTTGATCTCGAAGGCGAATTCGTCGATCGGGGTGATAGAACCGCTTTCCGATTGGTGGTTCGAGAACCGGATCTCCGCCGCGGCCGGCGAGATCGAGCTTCCCGCAAGCAGCAGAAAGAGAACGGTAAAAAGGAGCGACATCACCTCCCCAGAGAGCGCGAGGGGGCGAGAAGAACCAGATGGCGCCGGCATCACCATCGCACGGAGATCAACTCCCCCCAGGGAGGCAGCGGAAGCGCTCTGCAGCTTCCCACGGATCCTGCGCCGTCTCCCCCTCTCCCTCCTTTCCGACGAGGAATTTATTCTGGGTGGGTTCCCTCAAGGGGGAAGAAAATAAATAAATAAATAAAATTGAATTAATAACTATTGGCAGAAACCCCCGCCATACGGCATCGAAGTCAAACGCGGGAAAGAGTCTGCCTATTAAACTTCCCTCAACATTTTTTTAATAATATCCGGTAAATACAATTTATTGTTTTATTAAATTCGCCTAATTAAGGGGTCAAGGGTCAAACTGGCCTCCGACTTCCACGTGGCAGTAGTATCATGTGACGAATATCCGTTTAAATATTACATATATATATCTCCAGAATAAATGTCATTCACACTTGATATGCGGTTCTTTAGCTAACGTTCAGAGAGGAGGTCTTCAACGGCTATCAGCCAACTTCCCTCCTCCCTCTGTGTGGGACGGACCTGTGCGCATGAAGAAGACGAAGATTACAGGGGATACGCGATTCTGTGTCCCCTGACTCCACCATTACGCGGTCGGTTCCGACGTCGCCCCTGTGGAGGGACTCTGCCGGGGACAGGGGCGGCAGTGCCCGACAGCAGACGATCGTCATGAGAAAACTTGGAGCGTGAGAACGCGTGGAGGATGATCACCCACTAAAGAAACTAATATTCCGTCCGTAAAGAGGAAGGATGAGACTGTGACGCCCACTCAAGGGGAATCTGGAATGCGAGAAGAGTTCAGAGAGAATCGGCCATGGAGATATGCCGAGGTAGAAAGTGAAGCATTTTGGTGGAGAAAGTGAAGCCCTTTGGTGGACAATGTGAAGAGCTAGTTCTTCTTCTTCTCCTCCTTCGTCATCGTCATCGTCATCGTCGGCATCTTCTTCCTACTCCTCCCCGCAGTGGATTCCGTGTGCTTCAGTCGCCTGGTTTGCGGAAGGAAACACCATGCGGGTTCTTCTACGCTGTCGCACCGCCAATCCCTCCCGTCCCACCAGGCATTGAGATTTGGAAGACGGATAGTCGAGATGTTCCATTTGGTTCATCTGTGCGGCGTGCTCGCCACTACCCTCTTCATGCTCGGGTCCTCCCTCTCGCAGACACGGCTCGCTCCCGCCGACTCCCTCCTCGGCTTCCGGGGTTCCCTTTCTGGGCCCTCGCAGCTGCTTTTCCCCTGGCCGTCAGCGGGGAACGGCACCAGCGGCTCTGCCCACTGCCGCTGGGCAGGCGTCTCCTGTTTCCGCGGCTCCTCCGCCGTCCGATCGCTCAACCTGACGGGAGTCGGCCTCTCCGGCACGCTGTCTGCTTCCGTTCCCCACCTCTGTGGCCTCATCTCCCTGCTCGAGCTTGACCTCAGCGGCAACGAGTTCTCCGGCTTCATCCCCCCACAGCTTGGGAACTGCTCCCGTCTCCGCGTCCTCCTCCTCAACGACAATCACTTAACCGGCGCCATCCCGCCGGAGATCTTCGGGACGCGGCTCCAGGAGTTCGACGTTAGCTATAATTATCTGACCGGCGGCATTCCGCCCGAGATAAGGCTCTCCGTCAACCTGGAGTACGCCGGTCTCAGCAACAATTACCTGAGCGGTGATCTCCCCGGGGAACTCTTCTCCTTGCTGACACTCGAACTTCTGTACCTCAACACGAACAATTTCACCGGCCGCATACCTGAACTCCCTCCTGGCTGCGCCATCGCCGAGCTTTGGCTCCACGAAAATCTGCTCTCCGGGCCGCTCCCGCGTAGCTTGGCCAATTGCCGCGACCTCACCATGCTGATAGCTTCAGAGAACAGTTTATGGGGAGCAATCCCCGATATCTTCTCGGGGTTGCCTTCACTCCAAATCCTCCGTCTCAACGGGAACGAGTTCGACGGGGGACTGCCCAAGAGCCTATGCAACGGCGGCAGCCTCAACGACCTCGTTCTGTCCGAGAACAAGCTCAGCGGAACGATTCCGGAGGAGATCGGACGATGCCGCCATCTGACGATTCTGAACCTGGGGGCCAACAATCTGCAGGGCCCGATCCCCGTCTCCATAGGAAACCTCTCGCATCTGACCATCCTCTACCTGTACGAGAACTCGCTGGGAGGAAGACTGCCCGCCGAGATGGGGAACTGCACGTCGCTGGGGGATCTAGAGCTCCAGTTCAACTCTTTTGAAGGCCCGATCCCTGAAGAGATCTCTGGGCTCGAGCACCTGAAGACCCTTCTTCTCTTCAACAACACGCTCTCCGGCGTTCTCCCACGAGGAATCGGGAAACTGAGCAGGCTCACTGATCTGCATATCTATAACAATTGGTTGACCGGCGGAGTCCCGGAAGAGATCACCCGCCTGAGTAATCTGGAGCGCCTCTCACTCGCCCACAATGATCTCTCCGGTGTTCTTCCTTCTGATCTGGGGAAGACGACGACATCTGGTCTGGTTGAAGTTGATCTGACGGGGAATCGCCTTGAAGGGCCGATACCCAGCGGCCTATGCACTGGAAACAGGCTTGTTGTCATGGGGCTTGGCGGCAACCGCTTCAATGGTAGCTTCCCTCAGGAGATCGGTGGCTGCTCGTCCCTCACCAGGGTGATCCTCAGCAACAATCGGCTTCAAGGACGTCTATCCGGAAACTGGAGTATTAATGGAGGGATCTCCTATATGGACCTCAGCGGGAACCTTCTTGGAGGGCACATACCGCAGGTTCTTGGCTCCTGGTACAACCTCTCAAAGCTTGATCTATCGGACAACCAGTTCTCCGGACCGATTCCTCACGAGTTGGGTAATCTCAAGAATCTTGAAGTCTTAGATGCTTCTGGTAATCAACTCACAGGAGTCATACCATCCGAGTTAGGCGACTGTGGAAAGCTCGCGAGCTTGGACCTCAGCAGAAACCTCCTCTCCGGGGCCATTCCTGAGAAGCTTATCACTCTAACCAGCTTGCAGCGCCTTCTTCTCCAGGAGAACTGTCTCAGGGGAGAAATCCCTGATTCTTTCACATCTAAGCAGAATCTGATCGAGCTTCAGCTCGGACACAACCTGCTGGAAGGTCCTCTACCGTCAAACCTTGGTAATTTGCATGAGCTCTCGCTGGGGTTGAATCTGAGCAGTAACCGGCTCTCCGGCAAGCTGCCCGCTAGCTTTGGCAATCTGGGTAAGCTCGAGGTCCTCGATCTATCAAACAACTCTCTGTCGGGGGAGATGCCGCCGGAGTTGGAGAAGATGATCTCCATCTCTTCAATAAACTTGTCCTATAACCATTTCTCCGGGAAGCTACCCCCGGATTGGGTGAAATTTCTTGCTTCGTCCCCGGAATCCTTCGCAGGGAACGATCTCTGTATCCAAGACGACGTGACGAACTCGTGCCCAGTACCTAACCGGCGTGGCCGAACAACGAAGGAGAGAACGATTCTGACTGTGATCGGCTGCATTCTCCTCTGCTTAATCGGGCTCTCCGTCGCTCTATACCTAACATTCAGAGGTAATGACCGTTGGGTTCGCTTGAAAACCCCCACACAAGGTTCTGGTTCATCGAAGGACCTCCCAGAGGACCTGAAGATCGAAGATATCATGAAAATCACGGAAGACTCCAGTGAGAAGCATGTGATCGGTAAAGGAAGGCATGGCACAGTCTACCGTTTGCAGTCGGGGATCGGGAAACACTGGGCGGTGAAGAAGGTAGATCTCTCTGAAGGGAGACCCACCACGGAGATGAAGATCCTGTCCACGGTGAAGCACCGAAACCTGGTAAGAATGGTCGGGTACTGCATCAAAGATGGCTTTGGTCTGATGGTGTGCGAGTTCATGCCCGGTGGAACTCTCTCTGAGGTCCTGCACCAGAAGATGCCCCAGGTTCCGCTGGACTGGGAGGCCCGCTATCTCATCGCTCTGGGAATTGCCGAGGGCCTGGCCTATCTTCATCACGACTGCATACCAGCTATAATCCACAGAGACATTAAATCAGACAACATTCTCATGGACTCGGAGCTAAACCCTAAGATCGGAGACTTTGGCATGGCCAAGCTTTTGGATGGCTCAGATGCTGGCTTGACAATGAGCTCAATCGTCGGAACCCTCGGCTACATTGCACCAGGTTTCTACTTGCTCTCTAATTCTTTACATGGCAACGTAAAATCTGATATAAATCTGAGTCTTCCCTTTGTCGCTGGTACAATTTTTTTCTGCAGAAAACGGGTACTCAACCCGGATAACTGAGAAGTCAGATGTGTACAGCTATGGAGTCGTCCTGCTCGAGCTTCTGTGCAGGAAAAGACCAGTAGACCCGACCTTCGAAGATGGTGTAGACATTGTCGCCTGGGTGGGGGGGAACCAACAGATAGCTGAGGAAACTTCTCCTTTCTTCTTCCTCGATGAGGAGATCAGCTGGTGGACGGAACAAGAGAAATTGAGAGCACTGAAGCTGTTAGATCTGGCGGCCTCTTGCACTCAGGTGCCCTGCGAGGCGAGACCCTCCATGAGAGAAGTTGTGAAGTACCTAAACCAGTTAAATGTTCAAAGAAAGAGGACGACTTGAAGATGACAACAAGAGGAGCCCAGAGGTCCCCAACCGGGCTTAAAGAGAGAAAAGTGCAGGTGCCGATACCAGTAGCTCATACATCATCAGAAAAGTTGTTCGTGAAAGGGAATAAAGAAATTAAAACCACAGAGTAGATTTTCAGACTATTTCCTCTCAATCTTGTCTCCGTAACTGCATCAATGCTGAAAACCTTTTGACCCTTCTCCGGAGAGAGGGCCATTTGGTCGCATGCACATAGGGTGAACATTACATGGATGTATGAGGACCCACGCTCAGATACCTGAAATCCTCGAGTTGTGTTGCCCTCTCTGCAATCGTCAGATTTTCTAAGGCAGTCATAGGCGCATCCAAAGATTCACGCTAACCCATCAGCATGAATCATAATAACTCATCATGGGCCGTGGAGCCGCAGAACACATAAAAGGGCTCACTTAAGAAAGAATCGTGAGAGTTCCAAGATTGAATTAAAAATGCTTGAGAGAGAACTTCGAAAACGTCCATGAGATCTTGAGTTTTTCTGAATTAATTTCGACTGATTTCTCTGTTAAAGGATCAACCAGAAATGACGTAATTTCATGAACTACGCAAAGAGCATGATGATATTGACTACATGGAAGATGATGCGTTCCCAGGTCAGCACTAGCTGTATGAGTGCTGGTATGTAAAGATATCAACTAATCTCCACATGCTGAACCTCATATGTTAGCTTTAAAACATGCTTCCGCCATTTAAAAACATACCCTGCGGTGGATTAACAGGCATGAGAATGAAAGCAATCTATCTCTATAAACTAGAACTAATTACTGACCCCCTAGTGGTAACCACTGGCTCTATAATGGTAGCTACCTGCGACTAATACAACTTGATTTTCTGTCTAAAACCCGAACATTATATTTCGTTTCTTGAATTGATCCAGGAAAACCACGGATTTCTTACCTCAGAACTTGATTGCCTACAAAAAAAACCATTCTGGCCCTCGATTTTGAGACACCGTAGGCAAAGGCTATGCTGAATGTGTCTACGTGGTTGATTCAAAATAGTATAACTTTGAGCCTTGAATCCAGAGTTGCTCCCCAACTAGGCCTCCATGATTTAGTAAACTGAGTGGCTCGGAAGGTTCCTCTGCATTTCATGCACTTTTCTCCTCAAGTGATTTGCAAGATAGCTTATTCAGCTATGATCTGCCACTTATCTGTTCCTCATCAGTTTGAAGAAGGATGTTTAGCCAACAACCCAGATTTGCAAGAGGAAAACAGAACCTTATGGTTAAATAGATTGAATCCATACCCCTGGCTCCAACTGGGTTTTGTGTCGATGGTTCCAAAACACTTGAATATGGCAAAATGCTAATAGTTGTCATGTTGTCAGGCCTGTTAATCAACGACATGGGATACCTATAAATCACCAAAGTGCATTCCATTTTGCATTTATCAGTCTCAGTTATATTTTGCGGTAATTAAAACCGGGACTTCACTTATTGCAATTTTCCCCTTTTCCAATGTACAATCTCCGCCTGTCCTCTTCCAAACAGTTCACGACAGCTATCCCATGCTAGGATAAAGCAGGCATTAGCATAAAGTTAATATTTTGAGCCACTCAGGCTTCCAACAGGAACAATGGAAATCAAGTTGACCAAAATTATGATAGTAACTTTGGGTTGTTCGAAGGCGATTATACATTGGCGTTGCAACTGGGCCTCTGTTTCTGTCCAGGTATGGGCTTGGTTTTCAGGATGTCCCCCAATTTAAACGAATAGTGGATAAGCAGAGGATAAGTTTGATCTCACAATAGAAGCTACAACCTAAGATGCGTATCACGGGGAAGATTCAGGACCATCCACTCAGAAAATGGGCTGTAGTGAGAAAGATCGGGCTGGGTTTTCTCGACTGTACAGAGTTTGGCGTTCACGAGCAGCAGTTTAAGGTTATATACGTAAAGAGAAATGTCACATATGAGAATAATGCTTCTCCGGCAAATGACAGAGAAAGCGAGGGCAGTGATGACAGAGAAACAGAGGCGATAGAACAGTTCCCCAGCAATGAAGCACGATTGAGGGAGTGGAGAAAGTAATGAAGGCCATCGTAACGCATGGTCGTGATAGATGGGCATTGCTATGAAATCCATTGAGCCGATGCATGATGTACTCACAATGGAGTTTGATCCTGTTTAAATACTGGTAAAACTGAAGCGCAGGTACATATCCACCATGCGCCCAACAGCACCACATATCTAATAAGATAGAAAAAGATGCAATCACCGGGCCGATTATTATAAGGACTATAGCGGGAAAAAAAATGTGATCTGACTAAGACAGCGAGAGATTAGATTAAGGGAAGATAATTATTTTTCTGTTGGCTTTAGCGAAAGTAGTGGGCACTGTTTTAAGTAGGTTTCAGAAAGTTGAGAACAATGTAGGCCTTCTCGCGGTATCTCCCATATAGGATGGGCTTCCCAGGAAGTGGATTAGCTGAGAAAGGTATTGGATAGCTAGAGCGAATTATTCTATTTTAATGGCAGATCAGTGCCGTAACTTCAGAGTTCCAAGTAGTCTGGGGCCTCTTGTGTCACACTCGTGATGTTTTTCGATGTAAATCTGTAAATGTCTTGTCCCTTCAGAGTTCCAAGAGTTCCAAGTACTAGGGATGAATGTCGGCAGCAATTTCCGACTCCTACCCAACCCAAGATAGATGGAACAGAAAGGCCTTTCACTTTCTATGGTTACTGATTTCTGTTATCAAATTGAGGTGGAATGTGAGAAAATAGACTATCGGAAATAGGAAAAAGGGGAATTATTGCATGTATGGCCTCTGTTACGTCGGGTGATATGCAACACATCGGGCATGATGTTTAGCCATAGAAACCAAATTATAGCAGTGCGAAGATCGAGCTTGGCTTGTTGTCTCCCCAGTGGAAATGCTAGGCAAACGAATAGTCCAAATCCGCAGATGCTGACCAGGTTCCCTATCTTACACTATTCAGTCAGATTAGAACTCAGATGCCGGTAATATAGACGCCTATCAAAAGGAACAAGACGAGGCTCGCCGCACAAAAACCAACCCCCAATCAATCGTGCGATCTCATTCGCAAGGGGAGGAAATGGGATAGACAACTGACGCGATTGAGTAATGGCGTCCTGAGCCGTTCTTGTGGTCCTCTCAGGGAACGTACATAACTGCGACCCGACATGTCCGTATTGTCCTTCCTCGTCTCCTCCTGCGGTCCCGAGCTGGTCGAAACTGGCATGAGGCAGTCAATGCGGGGCTGTCTAAATAGGATCTGCCATGTGTCCTGAGCGAGGACTACCACTTGGTTGTTTCAGAGATGGAAACGTATCTTAAGCTGACACGAATCCTGGTCGAAACCTGCTGTATCAGGGGACCGGTATCGGCGTGGATGATCGAACTATAAGAGGCGAGGATATCGGCAATCTGCCATGTCTCTCGGATCGTGAGAGATTCAAGCTCGCCGCCGGTGCAGCGAATTTTGAGGCAGGAGAAAGCGAACTCTCCGCCGCCTTCAACCCGAGAACGATCATACTGAATCAGCAGGCTCTGAGACGTCTCTTCCACTGTGTGGCCGGGCTCCCGGTGCACGTGACCTCGCCGCCGCGATGGATTAGAGCCGGGCTCGGTCCAGCAACTTTCACGGGGTTTGGGTCGCCACATTGATGGCCCTGCACATGATCCATGGTAAATCATCGGATGGAAGGCTACAGACGGGGTGGGTCATGGGGACCTTTATTCGTCGCCGCCGCCGAAGACGGCGGAAAACCATACTGGAGCCGCCTGCCCCGGACCGTGCCCCTTTCTCCCTCTAGGGAGGGCCTGCCTCGTCTCCCGTTCGCTGGATGGGAGCCAGCTGCATCCTCGTTCTGCTTAGTCTTTTGAAACGAAAGGGCTTCACTGTTCACGACCAGATGGGTTCCGCCATGCTCGCGGGATTGAGAGGAAGAGATGGACCGCTACGCTCCACATAGCTGCTTCTTTCATTGTCTTCTGCGAGATCGGATATGGTCAAATGCCTACACTGTCGCGAGTTTACCCGACTGCCATGGCCGCTGTCGCCGAAGGACACTCGTCTCCGGCGGCAGGATTGCTGCCGGACCGCTGCAGTGGAGGTGGAGGGACGCCGGACAGGTCGGAACGGCTGGCTATCGATGTCGGAGACCCAACCCTCGGGGGCTGTACACAAACTGCCCTTTGAAGGGGTGGAAGGAGAGAGAGCCCTGCCACAGGAGCGATCCCCTTCCGCGGGGCTTCGAAATGAGAAGCCCATCCTGGCGTAGAGATACTGCAGCAAACCTCCGAGAGGAAGGGCGATCAGACGAGCTAGAAGACAGAAGAGCACTGTAGATGTTGCATAAATGAGTTTTTCCAGCGTTATTGAACATATGGAGCAGGCACCACTTGAAGGAGCCCATTGTCAACTACTTCGTCTCTATCAAATATTATCGCGTCAATGTTATATCTAAAAGTGTCTGGTTTTATGGCGTTGACATTGAATCAAATTATTTCCGTCCCGCTCGTCCTTTAGATATCCAGAACGATGGAATATTGTAATGTTATGCGATATTTTCGTGACATGTCTCTCTAGTCTAAAAAAATTCTGGATGTATCCTCCGATCTCTTCATATTCTAGCGACAACCTGCTCGTTGAAAATAATCGATCGGCATGTGCATGCACGGTAATGTCACTGTAGTAAACTCTGTTGATTACCCTTGCAAAAAAATAGTTTATTAATTGTTTTTGGAGAGCAGGTAACAGAGTTTTTAACTATCCATTGACTATTTGGGGTTGTTTTCACGACGCATCGGTTACCCGTTGACTTAGTACCCCGATTTTCTCCCATAAGGAGAATTTAAATAAATTAGGTTAGATCTTGAGGCCTAATTTTGGTGATAAACACAAAAATATTGGCCTGGGGACTCATGCCGAAAACGCATGCGGTGGCCCAGCCCATCATTCTAGGTCCATGTACAATCGAGAGCTCTGTGGTCAACTGTGGGTTTTGCTGGACAAGGCCAGAGCTCCGAGAGTCGGGCCCGCAAGTCAAGCCATGAAGACGGGCAGTGGGCTTGCATTAATGCATTCCCCTCTGAACAGGCGTTATCCTTTGAGATCATCAGGGCTACCACTGATCATGATCTTTCCATCAAACAGTGGTCCTACTATACATTCAGCGAGAGAGAGACAGAGAACAGGTTGTTAATATGTCTTCACCATGATGCCATGAAGAAGTACTTGAAGACAGGGACAAATAACATTCTGACAGCACGGATTCTCTGGACTGGTGCACCCAGGACGCTGGACCGGGCCTCGCCAGGAATGGGGTTGGCCCGTCGGTGATGGAGGCTTAATCCTTAGCCACAGGCGAGTATCAAGGGCGTACGTTTGCAAATGCGGAAGCTGCGCTACCGTGGGCGGCGGCACCCGCATAGCTACGGCAATCGGGTCACGGCCCAGCGGCCGAGGTTCATCCCTACCTTGATGATGACGCCTCTATTTAGCGCGAGCGGGGTTCTTGTCTTCCTGCTGGCAACCTATTCCACTATTTTTCTCGACGGTGGACCGGCCTCTCTCGGTCCAGGGATGATCGCGACGAGGGAGAGCACTGGGGATCAGAGGGACCCGTGTTCATAGAATGCCTTGTTCGACAGGACTGACGTCGATTGAAGGTGTGGACGTCCGCGTCACATGATTTTAATGTCTCATAAGTACCACCCACTTCCGTTAGAAAGGGTCATTCAATGACCCAGCTAGGGTCGACAGAACAATGACTGTAAGCGGCGAGGACGCGTGGCCACCGTCGTTTATCGAGTAGTTCGCTCAGCCAACCGCGCCGGCCGCCAGTCCGCGCGACCCTACGAGTCGGAAGTTGGGCTCGGCGCGGGGCCGACGACTCATCTTCCTGCTCCAGTCCAGCCTTGTGCTGTCTTTTCCTCCTGCCGCTCCCTTAGCCAACCGCCATTAAGAGAGCTCGGGAATGGCGGAGCGTAGCGTGGTTCGAACTCGATCTCGAGTCAAGGCAAAGAGCGGAGAGATCTCCACGGTGTCGTATTGTCATCTCCCTTAGATCGTGATGGCCACAGTCTGCTGGTAGGTATGCAGTTCAATGGTTCAAGGGTACAACGACCCGTTCTTGCTTTGGTCGCCCTAGCGGCCGTCCCCCGGGGGCCGTAGCGCCGCCTTTTGTGGTCATCTAACGAGTGAGACAGTGGGGAATGGTCGGTGGAGCCGCCAGCGGTCCTCGAGAAGTAAACGTGAAGTACAGAGGAGTACGCGGCTGCCCTCCAGCTCATACTGCGGCATTTGATCCGCCGGCGCGATCAACTCGCCTCGACGAAGGCATAACCTTCTCTCCTCCACCTCTGCGATGGTGAGAAGAGATAAAAATCCCCCGATGCAGCAGGGGAGGAAATCTTCATGGCGTCATTCATTAATGCCCTCCCTGACGAGAGCACGGCTGAAACAGTTGGCCGACGCAAGAGGCTCTCTTCTCAGCGCAGACCTTACACGATGAATCCCGTCGTCATGGATTTTCCTGGTACAGTGTCCGACAAGGCTTTAATACCTGGATGCCCTCGCCGAACCCGCTGGCGCCCACGTTATGCTGCAAGATAAGGACGAGAAGCAATAGAAAGATAATCTGACGAAGATCCATCCACAAATTTGGTCAATCCCCGCTTATAATTGTCATCTCGGTTTGAGATAGCACAGGCTACATTATGGGTTCTTTAACACTTCACACAGGAACAACTGGGTAACAATTGAATTTAGGTACACGTCTCAAGCTCAGACGTGGGATCCATTTTCGGCGGCAGAGAAAAAAACTGTCCAATCTCAACCTGCGATAGGATTTTGTTTTTTTTGGGGCATGTCTCATGTTTGTTTACACCCATAAGAGAAAATTTATAGTGACTGGGCTTTGCTGTGGCTCGTCGTCTTGAGGTTGGTGACCGACTGATGCCGGTGTTAGAAGGAACTCGGTCAACCCTTCGTGTTACCCCATATCTCCTCGAGCTCGCCGGCGAAGGCCTTCTGCCGCCCGACGACGATCGTGAGGTGGTCCTTTTTCTCGATCACCTTAACTTGGGCACGGGGGATCTTTGACTGCACGGCGAGGCTGCACTCCACTGGGAGGAGCTCGTCATCTCTCCCGTGGAAAACCGTCACATCGCAGCTTAGCTGGCTCCGCACCGCGTCAAGGTAGCCGTCCATCTTGCCGGCGCTACCGCAGATGATGTTGTGCAAGGTGTGCCACGCGGCATTATGAGTATGGCAAAAGAAGCCGTCCATCAGGAAGGTCCTGACCCTGCGATATCAATCCGACGAACACCAAACGATCAGAAACTCCCCGGCAACCCAGCGGGTGGGCGGATTTATGATCATTAGTTGCGCCTGCCGCGGCAGGCCCGGGTTGTTCAGGTCAAGAAATCTCGACCAGAAAAGAGGACCTGAGACTCTATCTAGTTGCTTCCACAAGTCAACAAGTTGCAGATACTAAGTCAATATAAGTCAATGACGAGGAATTAGGCTCACGATAGCGAAATCTGATGGCATCCAATGTGACCTAAATCGTGGAAAACCATAGTCAAAGATAGACGAAGTGGTAGTACAGCAACAGTCCCAACACATTTATGACGATGACCCATTGATTGTGGTGCACTAGCTATTATGGGTGAGTGCTGGGAGGTTTAGGCGACACCTGTTCCTTGTGATCTGCTTGACGGCGAACTCCCACAATCGGTGGTTCTTGCAGAGGACGACGCACGCCATCCGGCTGATGTGCTCGTACCAGCACGCCACGGAGGCCCCGAAAGAGATAGGGGGCCACAACCTCCTCGGCGCCACTTTCCTTAGCACGAACTGCGTCCCTTGCTCCCCTTTGGGCACCGGAAAATATGGCTGCATCCATCACCTCCGCCATCATCAACAAAGAGAAGGAATGGAAAAAATGGAGAAAATAAGATTCCCAGGCTTCGAAAAGATAAAAAAACCACCAGATATGTCGGTGATCACCAATCTGCTTCTTCTTACCGGAGCGAGCAAGGTGAGAGACTTGACGGCGCCGGGGTACTTGACGGCGAGAGCGAGTGCGAGGATGCATCCGAGCGAATGGGCCACAATGTGGAACTGCTTGACCTTGTAGGGTTCCAGCACTGATCGCTCGATCATATCAACGTGCTCGCGGAGCGTGTACAGAGAGTCGGTGGGCTTCGGGCTCCGGCCAAACCCTAGCAGGTCAACAGCGATGAGCCGGTACCGCGACTTCGCCTCCTCTGAGAAGTTGGGGAACACCGTCTCCGTCCAGAAGAGTGATGAAGAGATGAACCCGTGGATGAAGAGCACGTCCTCTTTCGCCTCTCGATCTGATCCAAAACCACAAACCAATACGAGATTTATATAATCTGCTCCGACTAGTGGAGGTGCAGTACCAGTTAGAAACCTTTGGGCCCCTCGGCGCGGACAAAGAGAGAGTCTTTGGCGGAGGAAGTCCAAGAGGTGCAGGTCCCGCAGTCGCAGTCGGACCAGCGAGGAACCGGCAGGGACTGCTGCCCGCCGATCTTCCCCTGGAGCATCTCCACAATGGTGGAGTTTATCGTGAACGTCGTGGTGGTGCTACCGTTCGCCGCCGCCGCCGATCTGACAGCGGCAGCCCGGCGCCGTGCTACCGCAACCATCCCGGCCGCGCGCTCCATCTTGAGACGTCGCAGCTCCCTCACTGTGCACTTAGATACCTCCGAGACGAGGGAAGGGCGGGAATAGAGGGTGTCCGAGATGTCCTCGAGTTGAAGCTTCCTGGAGAAGAGGCAGACCACCTTGGATCCCCCGTTCTCGGAGACCAGAATCTTTCCGCTGCTGGTGACCTTATCCGTGGCGGAGGAGCAGTAACAGGGATTCCACTCAGCCTCCACCGCATAGTCTATGAGCTTGAAGACGATGCAGAGGATGACGTCCACGAGGTCAAGAATCGAGAACACAAAGAAGCTCAGCACATCGTTCACAACCCTGCCGGCGAGGCAAAGAGCAGATCTTGTTGCAGCGTCACCTCCAGTACCCATTGCACTGCAGCCAAGCCAAGGCGCAACGCGGCCGAGAGGTCGTTGAGGGAGCTTACCAGCCGTCCTTTTTAAGAGTTGGAGGGGGAGATATCCATGTGCAGATGTGGCCCTGATACCTCCTTTCACACTCTGAGTTGATCTGTGGTTCACTGGCTCACACTTCCTAGCCTTTTTCGCTATTTGGGGAGCAGAGGGGCCCGGCCCCAACGTCAGATCCAGAAGGAGAAAGGTGAGCCGAGCAAGGGACGACTGAGCTCCTCGAGGGGTCTCCGACTCGACCGACCATGCAACTGTTCTGAAGCCTCCCGGGGTATTAAAGCTCCGGCCTAAATCTTTGAAGGGGTGGGAAGAGGAGGACGAAGGGGGGAACCCTGGTGACGAGATGGATGTTTCGTGGAGTGGGTCTTAAAAGGTGAATCTGATCAAGCAATACGCGTCCCTTTACTGGTATAAACTCGGCTAATGGCTTCACCCTATAGGAGTAAAGACTGTAAGAGAGGATTTCCCATCTTTCACCGGTGCTTCTTGACGCGTACTGAGTGGAGAAGGCGGCTGCGCAGAGACTGATGAGTGAATTGATTGATCCATTAAGGACATTTGCTGGGAGGGAGAAAGGGGTAGGTGGCAGTTGAGCCCCCCTGCTAACCCTCTTTTTTTCTCACTGCGGCGTTAATCCACCCACACGCACCGCCTGGGTATTACGCAGGGATGATATGCACGGAGACAAGCTCTGTGTGAGCACGCTGGGTTACATGTGAGGACGCCGCGCGTCACCCCTCCCCCCTCCACCGCCCACTCTTCTCGGCCACCGCCGGGCATTCTCTTACGGGTACCTTCAATGCCCTCTTCCGTTAGAGGGAGAGAGTTGGGGCAGTGGAGGCGCTACTTCACCAGAGCGAAACAAGGAATTGCAAATGAATACACCTCCGTTTTACGGATCTGAATACTCCCCCATCTCCCTCTTTCTAACCCCAATTGCCCCCTCGTCTCCGCTTTGCTGTCTATCCCACCCGACATACCACTGTCATTTATTACTCGCTGTCTAAGGCACATGACTCCTCCCTCCCACAATAACCCTTGACAGAGCCAGTAGTGCACGCCCCTCCGCCACCTCCCCGCTACCACCCGCTGAATAAATGGAAGCCCACCATACATGCTGTCAACGTTTGGGCCTGCTTGCTTCCACCGGTTTTTCCCTCCAACGTAGAGACTCCTGCGGATACCTACGACGCATACCTGAAGTAAACGTAGGGGGGCTTATCAGCGTATGGCCCCCAACGTAATAGTGCAGCTTCGCCTTATTATCTGGGCTAGGAGGTTTACTGGCCCAATTTTCGTGTGAGAGGCTGACGGAGGTCTACGACGTGAACGGCGGTCCTCTTTTAAATGCGAATCTGATCTGGGTATTGTGGACGGACATCAAGAGTTGTGGATGATTCCCCCACAGATGGAGCTCGATAACATGTTGCCCAAAGGGCAACATTGATTTCCGGAGATTTGTCTAATGAATGAACTGAGCCATTACCCACCAACGCGTTGGACTGGGCGCTGGAATTTTTAATGAGAAATCGGAATGTTAGAGACGAGGCTCTTCAATGCCCTTTTCCGCAGATTAATGCACAGGCAACCCTAAATCCTTGGATATCTACTTAGGACCAGATTTTAAATGTTCTTGAATGGCGTGTAGGTAGTGACAATAGATCTTAGATCAAGCCGTCGTTGGCCCACATCGCTCGTCTGATGTTCAATTGACAAGGACGTCTTGCGTTGTACTTGTACTCTTTATTATTAATCCAATTCTTCAGCGTTCGTTCAATCCATAAATGTCTGACTAGTGTTCGAATGCCCTCCCCCCTCCGGCTCTCATTGGTAGAGCTTTCATTTTGATTTTCACGTGCATAATATAGCCCTCTCATTCCTCACGCCATCCGTCAAATCTTAGTCGAGGTTCCGCGGGCATGCCAAGCGAAGAAACTTCGCCAGATTATTTGGAGATTCTCCTTCTGGGCCAGGCCTAGATATACGCAGAATCCGCATCCAAAGCGGGACCAGAATCAACTTCTATAAGATTCTTGGGAGGCCACATGGCTCTGGGTCCTACCGACTAGTGGGCGACTTTTGGTGGACAGATTGAATCGGAATTAATAAGACTCCTTAATGATGTGCGTGGTTTACCTCGTCGGTAATTCACGGGGAGTCTGGCGAGGAGGAAGATCTCGCTGAGGGCTGTGAAAGGATTGGATCTCACAACGACGACGACGGCGGCGGGGTGGTCGAAGTAAAGGCGGTGGATCCGGGGGAGGTGTGGGTGGCTCACCCGGCCTTCCAAAATCAGAGGAATCAGCTCAAACGGGAAGCTGGCTTTACAGAAAGAAGACCTCAGAACGGCCATTGATCTGCCGCAGCCCCCCGGTCAAGTCGATAAGTGTGTATATTTCTCCTTTGTGCGATAACAACAAATGCTCACTCTTATGCCTAGGATTGAGTGACGACAGAATACTCACACGCGAAAAACAAAATCCTACGTTCTCTCTTGAGCCATGAAGACTCTCCAACAGTCAATCCCGTGCGGAGCGATGAATGATATCATCGAGACCAAAGTATGTGCTTTCGCCTAAAGCATCGATCGATCAGTGCTGTCTGCGGAACGCCACAACGGCTTGGAGGAGGCAGGCTGGAATCCTATTCGGCTGACAGGGTCTTGCCCCTGTACTGGGAATCTGAGAGCCACTACGATAGAAGTCAGGAAAGGCATTGTGAGCATTGTGAGATGAGAAGTTTCCACGGTAAATCCACTGTCTTCTGGTCCGAAACAAAGCCTACGAACGAAGTGGATCAGTCTACTCAGCTGAAAAATATTGTTTATTTGTTTCTTCAAGGTTCTACAAGGCCATTTGGAATTCAGCACTCAAGCAGTCACCTACAAGTAAGGTCAAACATGCCACATTCCACGGGCCTTTCTATACACACATTTTTTTGCTAGTGATGAGAGGTCACATCGCCATTGGCACAGTGTCTATCTCCTGTGGTTATTAATTAATCCAACCTGTTGGAACATTACAATGAGCAAAGAGATAAGGGAATTGAGATGTAATCTACTCCCATCCATTGCAAAGGATACCCATAGGTTTTTTCCTCTCTATCTCTCTTATCTTTCTCTCTTTCATCTTCTCTATTACAACATTTTGTTTCACAAAATATAAATAATTATCATATCCACTTTACATGTAGTTTCATGTTATCATAAAATTGTCAATTTTTTTTGTATCACTGACATAGTTTCTTTCAAACCATAAAGATATTTTTATGGTTAAATACTAATTTTTAATTGCCTTGTTGAACAAAACTATCCAACTGTATCACATATATCTCTATATCTAAATTTTTAAATAAAAATATGTTTTTTTGCATCAGCTTGATATAATCCTAAATCCCACATATCTTGTATAACAATCATAACTTTGATCAAACAATGATCTATGTTCAATGTATGATATGTAAATGAGATAAATTGTGATGTATATCATACTTTTGTACTATACTTGATTCGTAATAGATTATTTGGGTTGTTAACAAGTATATATTGAATTCGATAAAATAGACATATGATATAATAAAAGTATAAATTTATATGATCTTATGAACACATAACACAACTTCTAATTTCAAAAGATCATTTATGATGTTATTAGTTTTTTATGTTAACTTAGATTATGCATGTGACCTCAACAAGATGAGATGTACAGCATAGTATAAGGTCATAAAAGTTGAATGACAATGTTTAATACATTGTTACATAATAATCAACAAAATGTCAATCCCCTTAACAAACATGCAGAATATATGCTTATTTTGGCACTCTAGGCCTTAAAGGAAATCAAGCTAATTATCGATAATATATGCTTAATTTATTACTATAATTGAAGCTACAAAATAAGTTTTCAGTTGAAAGATTTGGTAATGCAACTTTAGTACTATTCAAGAAGTTGTATGCATATATTGTGCTAATTTAAGTGTAATTTATGTTATAAAATATTTTATTTATCATTCTATGAGAAATCATATTGATATCTAATTTCACAAATTTCTTAAAATCTTTCAACTAGCAACATATAACTTGTGAAGGTTTGTAGTTGATATAATACAAATTATGATGACTAAGTTTTTACCAATAACTAAGTTTTAACACTACTTAAACTTAGCTAATACTCACTTATGCTAAGGTGCAAATGATATATATAAATAAGTAGCTACGTTTAGATAGAGTTATTTTTCTTATGTTTGTAATAATTAGTTTGACCAAGTTAAAGTTAGAAAGTTATTGACTAGACAAATTAATTAGGCTATTAAAATCCCCAAAGAGAAAGGGGAATAGAGATGTAACATACTCTCATCTATCACAATAGATTATGATTGATTTTTGCTTTTCTATCTCTTGTTCCTCTATGTAAAGGGGAGAGTGTAGGAGAAAGGCATATAATGATAGTGAGTCATGAGAAGTGAGGATATGAGGTAAACTAAACATTGTGAGATAGTAAGAGAGCATGTGATATAAATCCAACAACTGTTAAGGCACTAAAAGGTATTTTGAAATCAAATGAAAAGAAATTGAGAAGAAGAAGATACAAAAGGAATCCTAAAAAGACCTAGTGTGTTCTAGGCATCCAAGAGGTCCCTATCTATCCCAAGTCACGATAATTTCTCCTTTTTCTCTTGCTCCTCTAAACCTCTCCATGTTGAGCCCTAATACCTCACTATCAACTCTCAGAATGTGTCTTTTATCACGTATAACAATAAATGTCATTGTGAACAAGATCTTATATCCTTTCTTCTGAGATAAGTGACAAGATCATATATTTTCTTCACTGACAACTATAATTTGTATCAATAATCTCATTAGAGAGGAATCTAATCCTATTGAATGATTACTTTGGATCTCACAAAGGTGTATTGTATGTCAATTAGTTTATTGAAATATATATTTCAATGAACTTTGTCAT